TAAAGTGGTGGGTGAATTCCAGGCACAGGAAGAGGCCAGAACCAGGTGTCCTGGTGGACGCTCATTCACAGAACATCTCATGTATAAATGTGTGTGAAATGGTGATGGATGGCTAAGCCAGCCGCCAATCACACTTCCGGGACCAGCCCACAGGCGGGCACTCAGGCACGGAGGAGCATCAGCGAGCGGCCCAGCCTCCAGTCTCACTGCTGGTGCTGCTGGACAGTGAGGCTGGATCACGTCCAAGTGCTGAATCAGATCCCTTTCCTGGGGGTACCTCGGGATCCGTCTGAGCCAGGAAGACACTGCCCCCCTCCCTGCCCAAATCCAGAACTGATTTTGCAATGTCTGCTTCCCAGAGACGCTGCTGGGGAAGTTGAGGAGACACGAGATGTTGAGTTTATCAGAAAGTGGAAGAAATTCCCCGAAGCTGGGGTCCAGGGCCCAGAGACCAAACTCCCTCAGAGGAAGGGAACCCTAGCCTGTTCCCCTGGCCTGGATCAACGCCCCTCTGCCTCCAAACCCCGGCTGGAGACCACAGGCCCTGTACGCACCAGCATGCTCCTAGGATAGGGCTAAGACTCCCTTCCTCCAGGAAGCCTTCCATGCCTCTACCGCCTGAACTTGCGTGTGTCTGAGTCCTGTCCCTGCCCCTCACCAGCTGTGTGACCCAGAGGTTATCCCTTCTCCTCAGAGCCTGTTTCCTACCATCTATAGTGGGTCTCACACAACATGGGATGCTGGGAGGGCTGAGTGACGGGTGGTGCGTCAGGCGAGCCCAGCAATGCTGTGTCCCTGTCAACATGGACCCTTGGGCCCCCTTCCCTGGCCCGGCGGGTGAGCCCCAGCCCTGGAAGGCAGGGTTGGAGGCGGGCAGAGTCATGAGTCTCTGACAAGGAAAAAGTCCTGTCTGAAACCCGTCACTGAACCGTTTCTAGAATATAGGAGGGAGCAACGCCTTTGAAATTCCCTTGCATTGCACACATAGGGAAACTGAGGCAGGAGGGAGCAGGGACCCACCTGCGGGGACAGCTGTAGCCCTTGGCTCTCCATCATCACTGTCACCTTTGCAGCCTCAGATTTGCCAGTCCCCACCCCGACCTGGCCCCGAGCCTCTTCCCTGAGGGACCACAAGGTACAAGAGAGAAAGCCCAAAGGTGGCAGGGGCCTGGGTTAGTCCTGGTTCTGCCTGCCAGTGGGAACCGGGCCAAATCCTCTCTCTGGGCCGCAGTCTGCCTGTTGGTGATGCAGGGGCAGCAGCAGCTGCCTCAAGAATCAGCTGAACTGGGCCTCACGGAGGGGGAGGGGGGGTGGGGGTTCACCAGGAAGCAGCCCAGCCTGGTGATCATCTCCACACTTAGGTGGAAGGACCTTCCAGAAACTCTAGTTGGGACAATGACCCATTACGGGGCCTGAGTGGGCCCGTGGAGGGGCAGCCTGGAGGGGTGGGCACACACCAGGACCCTTCTGCTGCCCCCACACGGCTGGACGGGGAGTCGCAAGCAGCTGGAGCACAGTGCGAGCCGCCTGACCTGTTCCCACCATCCTGGGGCCTTGGCTTCCTCAGGTGACAGGCCCACTGCACAGGGCTGGGAGGGTTTGAGGAGACAGTACTGGGTGTGCCAGGGCTGTGCACCCAGTCACGGCAGTTCTCAGGCCTGAGGGTGTTTTTGTTGGCTGCCGTTTACCCAGAGAAACCGAGGTCAGGAGACCTCATTCTGCCTCTGGGCACTCCTGGGGTTGGGCACAGACACACGCGCGCGCGCGCACACACACACAATACACACACACCTGTGCCACGTGAGCCTGTCTGTCAGCCCCGAGAGGGTTGGGGGTGATCACATCTCTAATCTTCAGGCCAGGGCCACCCCAAACTGGGCCTCAGTCTGGGCTGGAGGGCAGGAAGGCAGGGGGACAGGCCTGGCCCTGCACCTCACCCTCAGGCTCGGGAGACCTGGAACGGCGGCCACACCACACCAATGGCTGGCTGGCTGGACACGGGGGATGGCAGGCTGCCACCCCGGCCACCCCACGCGGCCACACAGACCTCAGCCTAGGGAGACGGACACAACAGCCTGGCCCTCTGGTCCTGCTCAGGGAGGGTCAAACACGTACCAGCTGCCCTGTGTGTCCCCAGTCTGTGCCCGATCTGTGCATCCTCCCTCCCCTGCTCCCACCACTGGCCAGCAGGGCCTGGCTACCTGGATAACCCCTGCAACTAGCTCACACTCACCTTCTGCCCCCTGATGATGCTGGAGCCTGCTAGGCAGAAGGCCAGGAGGCAGAGCAGGAGGAGGCCCCGGGGCCCTGCCATGGCCAGCGGCGTCTGGCAGGCACCCTGTCCAGCAGAGTTGGGAGAGCCTGCGTGGGGAATGAGCTCTGGGAGGCAGGCACAGGGCGGGCAAGTGGGATGGGGGCGGGCACTCGCTTTAAAAGCAGCCTCCAGGCCTGTCAGCTCACCCCCACAGGAACCAGCCAGGATTTCCTCCTGCCTATCAGCAGCCTGCAGGCGGAAGGGAAGGTGCTGGCTACTGACCCCTGCGTGGATGACCCAGGCCCTGCTTGGGGCTTCCTGGCCCTGGGACCCTTCTCCTGGCATCACAGCCTCCAACTCCCCACCAGCTACAAACCTGGGATCTATCAGAGGTTGTGAAACAAATTCAAACGCAAATGCACACAACTCCTCACCCCAGTATCTGCAGAGGCTCTGGGGATTCAGCTCTTGAATCAGGTCTGTCTGCATCAATTTTTCCAACTGCTGAGGGGAACTGCCAAGTCCTGTGCTGTGGGCAGAGGACCGCTCCTCCCCCCACCTGCCCCAGCTGCCCCTCTGACCAGTCTCTAGACCTCCCTCCCCAGGGCCCCCGCAGTGCTCTCCCTCCGGCTCCATCTGTCCTCTTCAGGAGCCCTGCACTCCATACGGGGCCACACCAGGCCAGCCCGACTGCTGCTCGCCCTCACTCTGCCCCAGCCATGACAGTTATCTTGGTGCTGCTGTCACTCCACATCTTCTCAGGGACTGACCTCAGGTCAAAGGTCACTAGCCTTCATCGCCTCAGGGCACTGGCCACCAGCCGACCCTGGTTTGTTTAGTTAATGTTCAGTCCCCTGTAGGAATGTCAGCTACTGGAGAACAGGGACAGTGCCTGGCTGGTTCGCACAGCAGATGCTCGATACAGATTTGTGGAACAAATGAATGAATGGGGCTACTTTTATCATCTGTTACTGTGGGGAAACTGAGGCTCAGAGGGCTAGGTAACTTGTCTAAGGTTGCTCAGCTAACCAATGTTGAGATAAAATCCCGCCCTGGCCGGTTTGGCTCAGGTCGGCCTGCGGACCAGAGTCCTGGTATGGTTCCCGCTAAGGGCACGTACCTCGGTTGCAGTTTGTCCCCAGCCCCGGTTGGGGTCATGTGGGTGGCGACCAGTCGATGTCTCTCTCTCACATGGATGTTTCTCTCTCTCTCTTCCTCCCTCTCTCCCTCCCACTCTATCTGAAGATAAATGCAAAAAAAAGATAAAATCCCGATTGCTGTCTGCAGAGAATCCCACCCCCGACACTGCACCACCTCTCCCTGCAGGTCAAGTCCTCCCTGGACCCAGGCTGGGTCAGCTGTTAACATGTTGGGCTGTAGGGCCTGCACAGTAGCCAGGTGGTGAGGCCTCCATGTGCTATGCCTGGGTTACGGTACACCCTGCCTCTGGCTGTGACTGTCCTATTTACAGAGGACTGACTGAGAGGAGTAGAGATGGGTGGACACCTGTGAAGACCTTTGATGCTAGCCTGCCTGGGGGAAGCCTTGTCAACTACCCCTCCTGCTCATCCGCAGCAGGCTCCCACTCCCCCTGCACTGGCGGGGCCACTGGCTGGGAGGGGTGTTCAGTGGGCAGACCCATCCTGTAGTGGTGCCCCCCACGTACCCCCAGACTTCCCGAGGGTGACAGATCCTCTAGGCCAGGATCCCAACCTGCTGGCACCCAAGGAAAACAGAGCAGACACAGGCCTGGGAGCTAGGCTGGCCGCTCCCCACTCAGCTCCTCTCCAATCCTGCCCGTATGGCCCTGCACCTGGGGGACTGAGGCTCCTGATTGGCCCAGGATGAGAGGGGGAGGCAAATGGGACTTAAGGGCTCTGCTCTAGGGTGCGGGGGGCGGGGGTAGAGAAGGATTAAAGGTGGGGCACAAGGGCTGGGTCCCAAAGAAGCCCTAGGCTCTGTCTCAGCAGGGCGCCCTGGGCAATCCCCCCTTCCCACCGAGCAGACCCAGAAGGGCACGGCCAGCTCCCCACAGGCCTTCCCTTACAGCCATCTTGGTGACACCCCCAGACCCCACGCAGTAAGACATCCCAGACTCGAGGCCTTACCCTTACAACAGGCTGCAGCCTTTGCTGGGCTGGGCCCAGGTGTGACACTCCGGACCTAAGGAAGGCAGAGGGCGAGGAGCCAGTGAGCCAGGTGTGCCTGGGGCTCCGCACTTGTTTGCCCTGAGGCTCATGGTTTAGCCACAGCCCAGCACGGCTCTGTCCAGAGGCCCCTTCACAACCTCCTCCCAGTGCCACCCAACCAGCTTCTGGCCCTGGGGGAGCCACCCCCCTTGCCCTTCTTCCCCTCTGCCTCTCCTCCTCCTTCCTTTCCCCTAGTACCTCACCTTCCCGCATCTCTAGGGGACCCTCTCTCCCGCAGGCCATGCCCTGGGCCAGTGCCCTGCTGGAACCCCAGTGGGGCCTGAAATAAAAGACCCAGATGAACCCTGGCTGGTGTGGCTCGGTTGGCTGAGCATCGTCCCATGCACCAAAAGGACCCAATTTGATTCCCAGTCAGGGCACATGCCCAGGTGTGGGCTCCATTACCAGTAGGGGACATGTGGGAGGCAGACGATCGAAGTTTCTCACATCAATGTTTCTCTCTCTCTCTCTCCTCTCCCCTTTCCTCTCAAAAAACAACAAAAAAAAAACCCAGACTATGTCAAACTCTACTTTATTGGAACAGAGAAAATAGGCAACAGGAGCCACGCGTGGTGCTGGCAGCTGTAGGTGCCCTGGCCCATCCCTCTCAGCCCCAAGGACGAGGGCTCTGCCCATGGGGCCCTCCCACTTGTCTGGACCAGGAGAAGCCTCCACTTTGGAAAACTGCACAGGGTGGGACCCAGTGTGCACTCTGCTGCCAGCTGCATGGCCAGCAGCGAATGCCCACAACATCCACACTGACAAGGCTGGACTTGACATTTCAGGAAAAGACATTTAAGTCAACAGGACCCATGACGCCACATGTTAACAACAGTCCTACGACAGAAGACATGACACTGCTGGGCCTGGCCACACCCCCCCAGGGGCAGGCCACAGATCCACGGAGGGCCGATGGCACAGGAGGCCCTGGAGGGGCCGGCACCTTCATTCCCAGATTAGAATCAACTGAACACGTATGTTCACATTCTGTGGGAGGACAACCAAATGAAGGTACCAAAAGGGAGATCTTTTCTAAAAGAACAAAGAAAGCCTGCTTCCCCACACTGAGTGGACGCCAGGCTGGACACGGAGGGCAGCAGCGGCCAGCTGGGCCTGGGCTAGCCAGTGAGCTCAACGGGCAGCTCCCGGCCGCACAGGGCCTCCCACTGGCGGGCCAAGAGAGAGATGAGCTTCTCGCGGCTCTCAGCGCTGGGGATAAACACCTGCCACTGGACCTCGCGGCCCTGGTCGGCTCTGGCTGAGCCCATCGGCACCTCCCCGAAGTGGTCCAGAGTGACGCTGCCCATGAGGTCGTGGCTTTGCACATCGTCAAAGACGAGAGTGAGAGCCTGAGGGTAGGTCTGGTAGCCCATGAGCACACGGTCCAGGTCCCGGACACGGCGGCCATCATCCAGCTGGTACCGGTCTCTCTGTGGCGGCTCTTTGGCGAACTCGGGAAGCGGATAGTGGACAAAGTCCTCGTCCAGAAGGAAGATCTCGGTGCTGGTGAGCAGGAGTGTTTTGGGGCACAGCGTGCCCCTGCAGCGCCCCGGTAGTGGCGTGCCCACCTGGAAGGCCTGCACATACAGCAAGATGCTGAGGGCCGGTGCCTTCTCTGGGTCAGCCATCTTCTGGGCCACGATGAAGGTCAGGTCCCCAATCTCCTCCTCGCTGGGGTAGGTGAACTTGACCTGGCTCGAGTGGATCAGCTCGTAGTTCTCCATCTTCCCTGCAGAGAGAGATGCCCACCAGTGCTGGAGCCTAGAACTGGTCTGTGGTGGGCTGGGAGTGCCAGTGGCCGCATGCCACCCAGAGATGGCAGCACGAGCTGCTATCTGTTGCAGGTGGGCAAGAGCACTCCAAGCCCCAACACCTAGGCAGAGAGACCGACAGGAAGCCCAGAGCAGACACTTGAGGTGCGTCTACCAGATGGCTGAGGGTTTGCTGGGATGGAGACTCGGCCATGGAAAACCCTAGCTGGCTGAGCAGGACGAGAGAAAACGTGAGCTAGAGGCAGAGATGTTCTGGGCATGCTGCCGCCCTTGCGGATGCTGAGGCCAGACTGCCTGTCTGTCTGCAGCCTGGGCCGCGCAGGTTACCTGTGGTCTTGTTCCCAAACTCGGAGTAGAAATCCTTGTCGACAGGCTCAGGAGAGGGCGTGCGTTCCAGGGAGGAGAGCACAGCCATGAGATGCTGAAGGAAGCAGTGTGTCAGGTAGCTGTCCCGAGTCAAGCATGTCACCACCTGCATTGGGGAGGAGCCTGTGGGAAAAGGTGCTGGTCACAGTTGCAGGCAGCTGCTCCCCCCAGCCCTGTCCCTGACCCTGGAGCTATATCTCTAGTCCCTAGCAGGTCAGCCTGGACCTAAAGACCACAGAGCCAGAGACAGGAAGGCCCATGTGGGAAAGCATCACGGGGCCTAAAGAGAAGGCCATTTCTCAGGCCGGAAGGGCTGTGACATTTTTCTGGAAGGGGATGCAGAGGCATTAGGGAAAGAGCTTAGCTTTCTCTCTTCAGGAAGTGTGAGTCAGAAACGTCCTGCCCTGGAGAGCAGGCCCTCTCTGCCTGCCCTCCGGCGCTGCTCAGCACCTCACTGCTTCTGCCCCCCCGCCCTGAGCCCGGCGGCGAGTTCTGCCCTCTCAGCAGTCCCTGAAGCTGCTTCCTCCCGCTCCAGTGAAGTGGCTGGGAGCGGAGATGACCCTGCCTGTGATACGCATCCACACACGGGAGGTGGAAGCCCGCTGGCTTTCACTAACATAGGTCAAAGCAGTGCTCACTCACCTGTCAGCCGGAAATACTGGTCAAAAAGCCCAACGTTGACTGTCTGTAGGTCACTGAGCTTCAAAACAAAGCACTGGGAGATGTGGAAGGGACTGTTGTTGTAGTCAGTGTTTTTCTGATGCCAGAAATCTGTGACAGAGAAAAACGGTGGTGGCCGCTGTGCCAGGTGAGCAGGAGGGGCCTAGGTGCACAGCTGGAGTCCTGCAGGAGTGGGTCCCTTTGGCTGGCCTGGCCTGCTCAGGAGGCCCCCCACTCCCATGCACACAGGCCCCATGGGCAATGTGTTCTAGAGTCTGAGCTGCGCCCGAGGCCCCGAGGGGCAGAGGCTGCTCCATCCCTCATCATGGCTAATGCCCAGGTGCTCACAAGGTCCTGGCTTGGTGCTTTCACGCCTGGCCTGAGATCCCTCATGACAGTGTCAGGGGTGGGGAGGGGGAGTGCTGTTAGCCCCCACCCCTCTCCAAGTGACTGGGTCTGAGGCCACATGGTCGGCTCTAAGACGGAGCCTGTCTCCGCAGGCACGGGCCCGAGCCTACCCTGCAGCGGCTCAGAGAAGTAGCGGCGGAGGCCGTCGTGCAGCACGAAGTACACGGCCTTGGTGGACAGCAGCATGCAGGCGGTCACCTCCAGCCCCGGGGTCTGGTAGAACACCACCGAGGACCACATGAGGTGCCTCAACTCCTCGTTTTCCACCTGGACACAAAGGGGCTGGGTTGGGCCTGCAGGAAAGCAGGGCAGCAGAGTACGCAGCTTCTCTTGCAGACTATGCCTGAAAACAGACCTCTGGGCAGGGCGCACCCTCCATTAGCCCCACTGCCCCAGTGACATGCCCACAGCCTTGGATGGGGAGACTCAACCATCATCACATCTTGTCAATGGATTAATCAACTTGGAAGCAGAGAGGAAGTGAGGGGTGGGAGATGGGTGTGCAGTGGGATCTGCCGGGGGCCCGAGGATAGGAGTGGCCGCAGGGGGTGGCAGTGACAGGACAACTAGCCAGGAAAGGGCAGTCCAGGACCTCCCAACCTAGACCCTCAAAGCTGTGAACGGCTGAAGCCGGGGAAAGAGCCAGCTCGGAGAAGTCAGAGACTCTGAGGCTGACCCCAACACAAGCTCTGCCAGTCTCCAGGGCCAACCGCGCCACCTCTCCACGCCAGTGCCAGTGAGACCAGCACCCGGGCCACTACCTCGGCAATGCTGCTATGGAAGAACTCGACGATGGCACTCCCCCGCAGGCTGGCGATGTGCCGGAGCGATGTGCAGGCGGGCAGGTGGGAGGGGATCTGATTCTCCTCGGAGATGGACTGGATCAGGTGCTCGCCTGGGTACTGGGACGGGGCCTCAGCTTGCGCCAGGTTCTCCTTCGGGGCTGAGGCCTCTGCCCGGGCCAGAGCTGGGATCTCCACCGGGGCCGGAACTGGCACGTCTGCCGGGGCCTCCCGGGGCAGCTGGTCCCTGCTGCATATTCAATCCCGCCAGAAACACTATATGAAGATGCAGACCCACACGAAGATTCCTAGCACATGCGTAACCTCAGAGTGTGGGGGGAACTCGTGTATCCCACACACTCCACCTCTGGGGTCCCTGGGGATTTCAGCACTCATTCTCTATGGGAAGACAAAACAGCAGAGAAAAGGGACCCAGGCCCTTCCTTTTGGAGGGAGATGAGCAGATGGGGGCAAGATAGGCCATCTGGCACCCCAGGGATGAGACAGCCCACAAGCCAAAAACTTATTTTTGAGAAGTTGGCAGAGGTTTCAGAAATGCCACTCCAGAGTTCAGAGCACAAACCCAGGTGCCCAGGGCTAGGACCTGGGCGCACTCAGGTCTGAGAACCAAAAACTCAAATCACCCCTCAGTCTGCCTTTGGGTCCTCCTCAGGCGACTCAGACTCCACCCGCCCCAACCTGGCCACCAGTGCACATGGCCACACTAGGCTTCCACCGGTCTGTTCCAAGTGCTAGATCAAACAACACTCAGAACCTTAACGCTCATGGAAGTTGGGGAGCTCCCTGTAACCAGACCACATGCCTACACGCCTGTGCCCCTGCTGAAGGAAGTCCTTGAGATGTTGTCTTCTCAGTTGAACAGTCCGGCTGTCAAGTCAGGCCCCGGGGGCTCTGAGCTTGCATGGGGCCACATGCCCCATGTCCTCCTGCTGTCCTGGGGCAGAGACGCGTCTGTGGGGATGACGCAGAGGCCTGCTTTCTGCGTGGAGTCCCCACTGTGGGCCGGTTCCAACCAGGCTTTGGGGTGGCAGGAAAATGTCACCAAAGCCTTAGCACAGGTGCAGAGAGGAGGGGAGATAGCTGTGCAGGGTCACCTTGGGCATAAGTTCTCTGCACCTAGGCATCAGGGGTCTTTACAAAGGACACAGGACTTGAGTTGGGCATAAGAGGGGCCCCCCATTCAGCCAAGAAAAGGTTGGAAGCATCAGTTAGGAGGCAGGTGGGAGGGAGGGAGGGAGAAGGCAGCTTGGAGGGAGAAGGCAGGCCCTGTACGATATCTGGATGAGAACATGGTCTCCACGGTCCACCAGGATAGAAGAGAAAGGGGGCTGGACTATGTCTGGAGACAGGAGGCTGACGAATGAAGGAAAAGCCCTAAAATATGTCAAGCCAGGGGGCAGTGAAAGGAGATGGGGCCCCCTCAAGGGCACAGGCCCCCCCAAACCCCTGGTGGAGGTGACCACACCTTCCAAAGGCTCCCTCTATCCCAGCCCCAGGCAGCTCCCAGGGAAACCAAAGGAGGGAGCCCAGTGGTGTCCTGTCCAGGCTCAGGGGCAGGAGCACAGTGGAGAAGAGGGAATGATCAGGACAGGCTCCCAGCTGCCACTCTTTCTCCCCCAGAAGAAAGGAGCTTTGCATGAAGTGACCACCCAGCTCACACACTCAGACCTTACTGCTATAAGCCAACAGGCTTCTTTGGAAGGGATTCCCCAAATTACATGCAGAAAGAGGGCCCCATCAGCAATCCAGATCTCCCTGAGAAGGGCTGTGTGGCTCTCAACAGGGTGTCCAAGGAAGGTGGTGCCGACAGCAGTCCCCCAGGCCAGAGAGACAGCCACAGGCCCGTGAGCCCGAGAGGAGAGGGTGGGTGTTCCTGGGCCTGGAGCAGAGCAGAGAAGGCCAGGCAAGGTGGGGCATCTCCTCAGCCTGGCCTGCAACGGTGGCAGGAGCCCAGGAACCCAGACCCAGGGGACTGGGCCCGATTGTCCTTGTTAAAAGATAGCCTTCTTAGGCCTCTTCTGAAGCCCTGGGAGAGAGGGAGCAGCCCAGTGCCAAGCCCGAGGGAGCCAAGGACACTGCTGAAGTTGGTCAGGAGCTGAGGGGCAGCTGAGGAGCTGGGCCTACCCTGGACTCACTCACACACTGCAGGTGCTCAGAGATGTGGTTTGGGGTAAGTGGTCTCAAACACAGAGATGTGCACTCCCTGGGTACATACCAGCCCCATGCCCCCGCCCCGAAAGCCTGCGCTCTCACCTGGCCCTGTCCTCGGCTGGCTGGCCATCCACGAGGGGGCTCTGGGACTGGCCCGCCGTCGCAGGGGTCTTGGCGATGACCACAGTCTTCAGGTCCTGCAGCGAGGCTCGCAGCTGGTTGTAGATGCGCAGGAAGTGAAACTTCTCATGGGGCAGCACAAAGATGGCAGTGACAAAGCGGTACCCCACAAGCAGCTCCAGCACGTGGCCATCAGCAAAGGCACCCCGTGGCTGGGTGCAGCTGCGCGTAGGGTCCAGCAGCACAGTGGAGAGCGGCACGCGGCTGAGCTTGAAGCTATTGCGGTTGCGACAGTTGTGGGTCCCACGGTTAGGCATGGGGTTGAAGTCAGCCTTGATGACATTGAGGTGCTGGGGCGTGAGCAGCAGCCAGTAGGGGATGGCAGCGGACTTGACGGCCTCAGAAGGTGCACAGCAGGAGCGCCGCACAGCTGAGCAGAGTGTGCAGCTGGCCCACTCGATGTTGCCTGAGTAGTCCCCGGCAGCTGTCTGCACCATGCGCTTGTCGCTGTAGACCAGGTAGACAGGGAAGCAGCCTTGGCTGTGCTCCTGGCAGCCACCTGCCACCTTGTAGAAGGTGAGCAGCTGGCGGAGGAACTCCTGCAGGCTGGTGTGGCTGCCATAGAGCACAGGGCTGCACAGCATGGCCATGTGCTGCGGGGCGAAGCAGGAGCGCAAGTCGGCGTGGAACTCGTGCAGGCTGGCGGCATCCGAGATGATGAAGAGCGTGTTCTCGCTGTGCCGCACCTTAAGCACTAGACACAGCTCTGGCATGAGAAAGCCGAACTCAGTGAGGTCGCCATGTGGGAAGCAGAAGACGAAGCGCAAGGAAGAGAGGATGTGCTGGCTGCTGCCCCGTGACTCCTGGTGTGGGATCTCGAAAACAGCGATGCCAAAGTCAGTGAGCACGAGGCAGGCAGCAAACTGGCGGATGCTGCCCTGCACGTGGATCAGGAAACACCAGAGCACCTTGAGGATGCGGATGTGCTCCAGCAGGAAGTCCTCGTCTGCACCCAGGGCCCACTCCAGGGCCAGGCGCTCCTCCTCACCCTCCTCCTCCTCCTCCTCCTCTCCCTGGCCTCCCTCCTCCTCTTCCTCCATGTCCGGAGGCCCCATTTCAAAGTATCGGTTCTCAGCAACATTCTCGTCCTCGTCGTCGTCATCCTCGCCTTGCTCTCCCTGGCCCTCCTCCTGCTGGTTGGCTGCCTCAATCCAGGCAGGCAGCTGCCGCTCGATGGCCTGCCGGATGAGTGTGCTGAGGCGCTGGATGAAGTCCTGGTTGGTGGCTGTGTAGCCAATGCAGGTGAAGGGCAGGAAGATGATTTGGCCAGACCCAGGCACCACTTGGACCTCTGGCTCCGAATGCTCTGGGCTGTGTGAGAAGCTACGTGAGTGACATGCTGGGTTGGGACAGCCCACTTCTCAAGACTGGGGCCTGCTGCGACACCCTGGTCCCAGGGAACCAACACATGGGTATCCCAAGCCTGCTAAATAGCCATGCCTATTCTAGGACAAGAGGCCTGGTGGGAGCCAAGGTACCAGAAGGCTGGGACACCCAGTTTCTTCAGAGTCCACATGCCCAGGGCTCTGATGACAGGGGTCCAGTCCAGTCCTGCCCACGCCGCACGGATTCCCCCAACAGAAGCGTCACAAAGACTAGTCATTCAGATGCTGGCCATAAGCCCCAAAGGCAACGAGTGCTCCAGGGCATGGGCACTCTTGTTACAACAGTTCCCTTTAGGGGCACCCTGTGAAAGGGGTGTCCTTAGGACCTTCACATTTAAATGCAAGCTCCTCTTGGCCACTACTGCCCTCATGTAAAAGTGTGCAAATCAGGGTTGGGAAATCTCCTCCACAAAGGGTCACAGAGTAAATACTGCGGGCTTTGGGGGCCACCCAACCACATTGTTTTTTTTGTTGTTGTTAATCTTCACCAGAGGATATTTTTCCATTGATTTTTTTAGATAGAGTGGAAGGGAGGGAAGGAAAGGGGGGGGGGGAGAAAACCATTGATGTGAGAGAGACACATCAATTACTTGCCTCCCACATGACCCTGACAGGGGGCTAGGGACTGAACCTGCAACCCAAGTACATGCCCTTGACCGAGAATCAAATTGGAGACCCTTCAGTCCGCTAGCTGACATTCTAACCACTGAGCCAAACCGGCCAGGGTCACATCTTTTTTTTTTCATTATTATTTTTTTATTGATTTTTAGAGAGCGAGGAGGAGAGACAGAAATAGAAACACTGATGACAGAGAACATCAACTGGCCACCTCCTGCATGCCCCTCACTGGAGACTGGACCCACAACCTGGGCATGTGCCCTGACCGGGAATTGAACCAGCGACCTCTTGGCCACACCGGCCAGGCCACATCTTTTTTTTTTTAAACAGTTCTTTAAGAAGGGAATGATCATTCTTAGCTCACAGGCTGTGGACCAAACCAGCCTTGATCTGCTGACCCCTCGTGTAGGATAACATATGTTAGGCAAAGTTTAGGGATTTAAATTTAGAAGCATACCAGAGCTCTCTCATCTGTGTTTATTTAAAGCAAGAGATAGTTCTGAAGGACCCCTGTGAAGAGATATTTAACAAAATCCAACTAGTTATGCCCTGGCTGGTGTGGCTCAGTTGGTTGGAGTATCACCCCATACACCAAAAAGGTTATGGGTTCATCCCTGGTCTGTGGTGCGTGTGAGAGGCAACCAATTCATGTTTCTCTCTCCCTCTCCCTTCCTCTTTCTCTAAAATCAATAAAAACATATCAATGGATGAGGATTAAAAAAAAGTCCCACTAGTTACTACTAGTCCACAGCTGTGTGTACAGACAGCCCAGAAGGCCTTAACCTCTTCCTTACCTTGCACCACCGACAGCTCCAGGTATGTCCCTTAAATCATCAGAAGGTGCCTGACAGAGAAGGAAATGTGGTCAGTCCCCTCCTGCTACAGCCATTCCCTGGCAGTTACTGGTGCCAGACCCTGAGCCAGGCACCCTGCCCCGTGGCCCGCCCTCCCTGCAGGAAGTCCCTCACTACCCCACGCTCCGTTCTGGGGTGGCTTACGGGGCCTGGAGGCAGAGAAACTCCCAGTTATCTCATCAGTGCACAGCGGGGCTGATTCTCACCCAGGTCTTTCTGCCCCCAGCCTATGTTCCCAACTCTGGGCCAGAGCCTCTTGCCACTCAGTTTGTGCCTCTGGGTCTGACATCCGCATGCTTTCTGTGCCACCCCAGAGGGTCTAGGATACCAATTTGGTAACTGGTCAGCAGAAGACACAATGAACAGAGGCTGCATAGTGCTGGCAAGGCCCTCCCAGTGGTCTCTGGGCAACGGGAAGACCTAGGGCGAGGGAACCTCCTTCCTGCTGTGTGACCCCAGGGAGGGGAAGGAAGAGAGTGCCATGGAGTGCTGGGGCAGGGTGAGGACTCTGCAAGCTCCCACAGGAGCTCACGACCATGACTGCGGTGTTGAAGGAAGAGGGCCGGAGGGAGACCTAGGTAGCAAGCACACTCCCAACCACATGGCAAATAAGCCACTCACACCCATGCCTTCCTCTTCTCTTCTCAGGACACATGAAGAAGCTCCAGAACCCTTGGCAGCAGCCACAGAGGTGCCACAGTCATACTGTGCCCCAAACTACCAAGGTGACATGCAGGAATGGGCAGAATGGCCCAGGCAGCTGGGGAGGAACTCTTCCTGATGGGTTTTGAACCCGAACAATCCCCCCACCTCCCTCCTGGACCTTCTGAATTGCTTTCCCCAAGGGAGTCCACTCAAGAACTAAGTTATTTGGCTTTGCCCTGCAGGGCCCAGTGAGAAAGAACTGCCTGTTTCAATTGGTGAAGAGAGACAGGGGGCGGGGGGAGTGGGATGGATGGAGGCTGAACTTAGGGCGTTAACCACAAAGCACAGTACACCAAGCGCTGGCAGCATCGGCCCAACTTTAGCCAGGCCACCTCCTACTTCCAGACAGCCTCAGACAGAGAGCTGGCACAGAGGTGATCAATCCCCAGAAGCAGGAGGCAGGCATTACCTGTCCCGCAGGGATGGACTCCAAGGAATCAGAGCATCCCCGAGCAATGGGCCGGTCCTCGGGAGTAAGACTGTCGGTGGACGAGAGGCTGCTGGCCAGGGCCTCCTCTTGCACAAACATGATTCCTGGAGAGACCAGGGGCAGGCGGGTGGGACAGTGGGGCAGGAGAGCAGCCATTCAACAAATGGGGCTGGGCTCTCGGGATTCCAGCATGGCCGGGGGCTAGTCAGACCTCCAAACCCAGCCACAGGGATTACAGAATAAAATGTTAAGAGTGAAACCTTAAAATAACTTGAAGAAAGAACTGACTGCTTATCTAATTTCAGGGTAGAGAGAAACTTTCTGAGCCTAAATCGAAAGGAAGAATTTGATTTGTGACTACATAAAAATTAAACTTCTATAAAAGTGAAAAAAAATGAGAAAAAAGTACTTGTAATATTTGACAAACATTTATATCTTTAATCTATAAAAGGCTGTTACAGGTGACAGAAATGGGGGGATAAAGTTGGAAATCCCATTAGGAGACAGACTGCAAAGAATGCAAACACATTCCACAAAACAATGGCCAACAGATATCAATGAAACAATGCTCACCCTCCTTCACAAATAATCAGAGAAGGGCATGCTAGAATAAGACACCAGTTTTGTCTCTCGCTTTGGCAAAGTTTGGACTGACTGCATGGCCTGGCCTGGCCTAACTGGGTAGAGAAGGGCGCTGGGGTGTGAGCTAGCCTGCCTGTTGGGAGAGCAGTTTGGCAGTATGTCCATCAAGAGCCTTCAACATGTTCACTCCTAGAGCCTCTCCCCAGCAACATGACTGAATGCAGCCCCACACGGATCTGACATCTCTGCAGAGCTTCACAGACACCCAAGGGCACAGGACACGCCACTGACGCTCCCCTAGTCAGCCTCCCATGAACAGCACATGCAGCCTTGTGCATCATGGGAACACAGGATGTTTTTAAACCCTGCTGAGGTTGTTTTATGAATATAGCACATCGGGGCCCATTATTTCACTCCAGACATTTCTAGACTGGTAAAGTCTTTTTTATTGTTTTCATAAGCATATCTAGTTGGATCGACCCCTTGTTTCACAAAAATCTGGAGGAGCCCAGGGCTTGGCCGGGCTTTACCACCAGTCACCAGCGGTTCAAGTGCCAGAAGTCATGGACCCTAGTCCAGCTCAGCTGCTGCCTGGAGACAAGAAGACTCGCATAACCCGGGTTCTCTGCTCCAGGGTAGGCAGGCCGATGGCCCAAGCCCAGATGCCCCCATCCCCTGCCCGGCAAAGCAGCAGGGACTCTGCACAGGCAGGAGGGCAGCAAGCACAGAGATATGCATAAGCCCACCGTTCTCTCCTAGAACTTTCCTCCTCCCTCACACACTCAGACCCTACCCATCCTGAGGATCCCCTCACACACTGCCTCCACTGCAAAGTCCTCTGCTCCAGACATCTCTCTCCCTCTACAAAACGCCCCCAAATCATTCGTCCTGTTCTCCCTTGGGCATACAGGCTTTGTCGGGGGCACTATCCTGGTCATCCTGACCCCCAACAAGGACGTGGGAGGGAAGCCCTTGTTGACCACTGCTGCTGAGCCAGCAGCATGCTCAGTGCTTCTCTAGTGTCCGCGCACGCACACCTTATTGTTTACCATAGTTCATCACGTCTAAGATGCGTACATGCGGTGCCATCTTGGTCTTAGCAGGTGTCCATGGAAGGTTTTCATGACTCCATGATGAGTACCAGCTGGCTGACAGCAACCATGATACCACCGACTGAAAGTGCATCTCAATTTCAGAGGGATCGTGTGCATCTCAGAATTGATGAAGTAGGTGATTACACTTTACAGTTGAGAAAACAGCTTCACAGAGGCTACAAGTTGCTTGAGGGAACACGGCCAAGGAAGTTGGGTCACAAACGCAGCTGACTGACCCCCCAGGAGCCTGCTCCTAACCACTTCTCTACGGCCTCCTCTCAGTTCCTGCCTGGAGAACCCAGCCTGGCATTGCACACATCAGCCCCCATGGCTCACAATCTCCGTGGCTCCAACAAGCTGGCTAACAGCTCCTGAGATGACCAGAGACCTGGTGTTCACTGGACAGCACCCCTTCACACAGGCCCGGGCACCCAGTTTATTCACAAATATATGCACTTCTAGGGAATTAGGCTGGGAGCAAAGCTGTTCCCACATGGGAGAAATCCATGCCCATCCAGGCAAGACCCAGCAGCACATGGCTGAACACAAATATCTGTGGATTCCTCCATTCTAGCAAGAAAAAAAAGCAACATTTTCTTGCCACTACCTCCCTTCCTCCCACCCCAAGCCCGGTTTGGAGCCCAGGAAGTGAGAACGGGGATAGTCTCTCTGCTTCCTTCCTGGACCATGGTTAGTACAAACAAGTGGTCAGACAGGGCCACTCAGAGGATGGGACAGGGGATATTAGGAAAGTACTTAGGTGGGGGCCCGACCTGTTTTTCACAAAAAGGAAAGAGATGTGCACACACAGACATCCACTGCAGTTTTATTTATGAGAGGTGCAAATCTGGAGACAAGGCCTAAATGGCCAGCAGCTGGGAAAGGGGAACAGACTACAGTGAGCCACTCGGTGGTGTGTCCCTAGGAGTGGGGGGCAATGAAGAGGAGGGCTGAAGCCTGGGCCTGGCTGGTGCAGAGACTTCACCACCAAAGGGGGCTGCCTGCAGCTGTGGCCCTGGGGGCACAAGCCTCGCTCACTCTGCCTGTGGTCTGCCCTTTACCAGCATGTTCTCTGCTTGCTCACTCAGTTAATCAAGTCCACAAACACCGAGAACCAGCCAGCCCCTGGCCTAGAGGACCAGCTGCATCTCCTTGTCCCCCAGAACCCTAGTCAAGCGGTTCCTCCACAGTGCTGTGAGGCCCAAGCGGGGCTTTGACCCCCAAGGCAGGAGATGGGGTCAGGGAAGTCTTCAATAGGATACAAACCTCCTGCCCCTTTCATGTAAAAAAATAAAATAAAAACTTCTCAGTCAAGTGTTACAAAAGTAAACTGACAATCATTCTGGGGCCTAAGGTCACCGTCCACTCTCACGAATGCTCCCACACCCAGGCTGTGAGCGGCGCAGCGCCCTGCAGCAGGCTGCCTTCACCTCGGCACTTCTCCCTCCCCCTCCCATCCCCCTCTGATGTACTGGCTCCACACTTCATCTCCCTGTCACCTTCTGGCATTCGCCACACCCCCTGCTTTGCTAGTATGAATAATGCTGCAGTGAGCAATTCATCTCCCCTTCCCGTTATCTTACCCCACCAAGATTAAAATCCCCACCAGTGGGGTTACCAGGTCGAGGAGTGGGAACTTTTTCTGGCTCTTGAAACATAGGGTCAAACTGTTTTCCCAAGACCTCACACCAAGTTCTGCGTCTCCAGGAGCCCGGGTGGGCGGGCGGCGTTCCTTCCTGTGTGTCCCGAGCCTCGGTTCCACTCGGGACGGCACACCCTCCCCTCTTCCGTGGGGGCCGGGCCAGCAGACACTCTCATGGGACCTGCTTCACTCACTCATCTCCGAGGATGCCTGGGTTCAAAGGTGAAAGCCCTTTGAAAACGCTAAGACAGTGGGTGGGTGAAAGGGATTGGTCTTCCATAGGTCCTAGACAGCCCGTCTGGGCCCAACAGTGTTTGGGCCTGAGCCACAGAGATGAGGTGATGATAAAAGCAAGCTCCCCACGCAAGGATCAGGTTAGCCAACTCAGGAAAGTAACAAGGCCTGCCTTCCCATTAATAAGGAGCCAATCCACCCACACTGCTTCAGGGGAGCGGGTCATTATGAGCCACCAGCCCTGAGCCTGTTCAAAGAGCAGCCTCAGGGCTGCTTAGACACCCCGTGATATCCTAGAGGAACTGGATGTGGGTGTCAGAACAATGTGGGGGGGTCCTCACTAAGCAAATAGAGCTGAAATCAGGCCAGGCATCCCCACCATGTGCCACCCCAGGAGGAGCTGGCTTGTAGACAGTACTGCACCCTCTCTGTGTCTGAACCCTGCCAGAGGCAGGTGCCAGCATCTCCCCTCAACCCCAGCCCAGCCAGGGGGGCCCAGCAGGGCCCGTGCAGCTCTGCTAGGCAGAAAGCTACACACATGATTACCTTGGTTGGAGAGGATGGGCTGGGGCAGGGAGGCGGAGGTGGGAGCCACGGTGGGAGGGGAGCTGCTGGGTCTGATGCAGGGGGCAGCTGAGAGCCGGCAATCCTCACCAACCTAAGAGAAGTTCTCGAGTCAGCCCAGAAGAGAAGAGAAGGATCGGGAAGAACAGAACTTGCAAAGCCAGAGGTGAGGAGAAACAGAGGTCCTCACAAACATCAGGGATGGTGAAGTTGGTCTTGCCTAACCCTCACAACCCTGTATGGCAGGTACTGTCACCACCCCCACCCTACAGATGGGTGTGACTGGCACAGGGTCATGCCGCCGGGACTCAGTGGCTCTGAGCACGCCCACAGTCCAGTTCCACTGGCGTCAGCTCCTTTCTCGGTGGGCTGTTCTCTACCACTCCTCCCACCTCCCAACGACCCACCTTCTTCTCAGGGTGGCTCAGCTTGGACTTGACCTCCTTGGCTTTCTGAATTGCCTTTAGCACTTCTACAGTGTCCAGCTCCTTTTCTGTGGTCACTGTGTTGTCCAGACAGACCTACAGAATCCAGAAACGGCAATCAGCCTGGGGCTGGCAGCATGGTGAGAGCAGAATGACAGGAGCCCTGCCAATGTGTGGGCCAGGCTCTGTGAAGCTCAGTCCACTGGGAGGCGAGTTCCTCACCACCCATACAAGTGACCTGGGAGTTCCTCAGAGTGGCCCGGTGAGGTCTCACACTGCCTGGTCTTTTGCTGGAGTCCCTTTCCAAAAAGGTGGGCTGGGGGTACAGTGTCCATTGAGAAGGCCTCTTGGATGGCTGGGATTGGGGGAAGGTGGTGACTTGAACAAAGCCCCCAATTATGGCAAAACTCAGATCAGCAAAGGGCACAGGGAAGGCTTTCTGGGCTGGGGAACTAGAGGGCAAAGGCATGCAAAGCAGGCACCCCTCCCTGCAAATGCAGGAGGGGTGTGGGCTGGCAGGCAGTGTGGAACAGGCACTGTAGTCAAGTCAAATGAGGGAAGGTCCCAAGGGCCTGGAGCCAGGAGGGGAGGAGATGTCATCTTGTGAAGGAAAGGGCATTTGGGGCCGAAAAGAGATAGGGGTGGAATGGGGAAGGATGAGAGAAGTATGCAGACTTCCAGGTATCTTCTGGCCTGGGATTTGGGAGAGTGAGGGAGGGGCCTGCTTGAGGCTGGCTAAAGACCTGTTCAGCTGGCATGGTGGCAGGTGGCCAGATGCACCCAGCAGGCAGCAGACACTGGGCTAGGCTACACTAGCAAAGGTGGGCACATCCTTGGGGTCTGCAGTCAGACTTCATGGCCAGAAGTTGTCCAGGAAACATGATTTAAAAAAATATCTCATTTCTGGCCTTGGCCAGGTAGCTCAGTTGGTTAGAGCATCCCATCGTCCCCAAACGCCAAGGTTGCAGGTTCACTACCCGGTCAATGCACATGAGGAGCAACCAGTGAGTGCATAAATAAACAGAACAACAAACTGATGTTTCTCTCTCTCTCTAAAAAAAATCAGTCAATCAAAAAAAAAAAAAATTAAATATCTTATTTCTGACCCTTGCCTATAATAATCAATGTTACTTTTAACAAATTAAAGACAGCCCGCCACACTCAGTCTGTGCCTGTGGGTTCGCAGGGAGCCCTCCCGGGCTGCAGCTCTGATGGAAGCAATGAGAAAGAAGTCTGTGGAGAACCAGACTATCTCTTTGGTTGAGCTACCCCCAACCCTGGCAGCCTACCTCAGAGGTTCTCTCTCCAAACTGAGCCAGCACTTTGGTCCGATAGTCAGGGATGATGCTCAGAGGGTTGTTCAGCAGGGCCACGTGCTCCAGACATGGGAGGCTGCCTATGCTCCTGATCTCCTCCATCTGCAAGGCACAAATTCCATTCCCCTCGTCCCTTCTTTTAACACTTTGGCAATATGACAACACGTTTGACAGTCTTTTAGATGAAAAAAGGCTTGCCATTCTTCTTTAAAGTGCTATACACTAAGGCACAGCCATGCTACAACCCTGAAATCCTGTTAGGTCGTGGCTCACCTGTTCGATTCTGTTGTTGCTGAGATCCAGGTTGACCAAGGAGTATAGCTTGTGCAGGCCACTCAGACTCTCCAGGAGGTTGCCCGCCAGGTTCAGAGTCTTGATGTTCCCCAGTTTGGTGTGAACCCCTTCCAAGGAGGACAGCCTGTTGTAGGACAGGTCCAGGTGCACGAGGTTGTACAGGTGCTGTGGAAGCATTGAGAACAGGGTCAAGTGGTTCAGGTCAAGGCTCCAAAGAAAGGGGACTGACACGGTGTGATGAGACTTCCAACCTAAAACGACCAACTCTACAGGTCAGCTCCATTCCCTCTGGCCGTTATTTGGAAGGGAACTCCCTCTTTTCCCCTGCAGTTGCTACAGCCCAGTGGCACTGCCTGCAAAGGGAGCCCAGCCAACAGGGAAGGTGCGAGCTTTGAAAATGAGGCTTGTGTCGTCACGATGTACATCATCTTCACCTCGCTTGATTTGTATTTGTGCATCTTTTCTAATTCTGGGGAACTAGAGCAACAATCACTCAGGACATCACTGAGACCCTAAGAGGAGAGCAGCAGCCCTGCTCCTACAAACCTCTCGGGCACCCAGACACCTTTCAAGTACCTGTGAGAGAAAAACCCAGGATAGGGCCAAACTCTCAAGGCTGAGTCAACCTTCTGAACTCTCAGGGAACTGGTAGGAAGCCCAGAGGTGGCGACAGCCTCCAAAGACATTGATTACCTGCAGGTTGTCCACAACTAGCACTCCATTGTGACTCAGGTCCAGGAATTCAAGCTTTGGAATCAGTTTCTGGTGGGGAAAAAAAAAAGACAATGCCCGATGTTACTTTAGGAAGCTGGACCCGATGTCACCCCTGCACATGGCGGACAAACACCCTGGGACTCTTTTTGTAAAAAACATGTTTTTATTGACTTTTTTTTTAAAAAGAGAAAGACAAAGGGAGAGGGAAAGAGAGAGAGAGAGAAACACATCAATGTGAGAGAGAAACATCGATCAATTGCCTCCCATTCACACCCCAGTTGGCGACCGAACCTGCAACCTGGGTATGTGCCCTGACTGAGAATCGAACAGGCAAGTTTTGGTACATGGAACAATACTCAACCAACTGAGCCTCACCAGCCAGGGCCACACTGGTATTCTTCCTTCTGACCTTGTACCCCTGGACTGGCCATCTGTGCATGGCCTCTGATGTATTACCTCCCAGTGCCTAACCAGCAGCATGTCCACAGGAACACACAGTGATGAACATACATCCTCATTTTTATGGAGCACTTGGCTTATGAAAATGACAAATGGCAAGATCCCAGAGAAGGAAGTCTGTCCATCCTTCTCCAACCCTACCCACTGAGAAGCACAAATACAGGGATCGCACACTTATTTCCCAAATGGCACCTGGATGTCACTCTTCAGAGGAGCACATCTGGAATCTGTGGAGTAACTGTTCTACCCTACTCCTTAGGAGTAAATTTCATCACTTACTGTGTTTTTATATCAAATGTACATGCAATTGATATGCCTCATTTGGTTCTAAGTACTATCTCACTTACTTTAGATAATTCCATTTTGAAATTTTAAAAATCGCAGGCAATGCACAGAGCCCTAGTTGGCTTTCCAGAAAAAGCCACATTAAATACCCACTTCGAGGTTTGGTCAGGTCAGAGAAAACCCTAGAGCCCACTGCTGAGAGCGTACCACAGACTCGTCGATCGTGGAGATGCTGTTGTGGCTCAGGTCTAGAGTGGTCAGTGCTTGCCATGTGGGGATGATGGCAGTCACGGGGCCTTCCAGGGCTGTGCCTTCTGGCTCCCACTCATCAAATTCCGAGGCTTCAGGAACGAGGACTTCCTGTGTAAGAACATCTGTTGGGCACACTTGGGCCCTCACGCAACACTCACTGGGAACGCAATCACTGCAAAATTTCAGGAAGGGCTTGAGCATATTTAGCATGTGGAAGTGAACTTGCATTAAAATTGGGCTTTGGTTCATATGTCTTTAAATGATTGTGAAATAACTGAAAAGCTTAGCAACATAACAGCTATTTGAAGTATGTTCTGGTCCTGCTTCAGGAGCAAATGCTTTTTAAGAAAAAAAGTTTTCATTGATTTTGAGAAAAAGGGAGAGGGGGAAAGAGGGAGGGAGAGAAGGAAGGAGAAGGAGATAGAGACACAGAGAGAAAGAAACATAGTTCTGCACCCTCCTGCACACTCCCTACTAGGGATCAAACCTGCAACCCAGGCATGTGCCCTGACCGGGAATCAAACCGGCATCCTCTCGGTGCACGGGACAATGCTCAACTGAGCCATACCAGCCAGGGCCAGCAAATGCTGTTCAAGCTCACAATGGCCTTTGCCATCTATATGGTGATGCCTTTTCTGGCTTAAATCTCAGAGGCTAAAGGTCAGAAAATTCATGATATTTTCAGGCAACTGTACTTTGCAAGCTGGCACTGTGATCCCAACTGTGGATAGCAGGCAGGCCCTTTTAACCATTACTTCACAGGGCTCAAACCCAACAATTCTAAGGTGCACAGTGCACAGGGGCACCATCAAAGGGGAGGAAGGCAGGCCTTCATATTTTCACATTTCATGCCCACAGATGTCTCCTCTCTCAATGGATCATCTTGGGCCCCAAGAGCCAGGAAGCAGGAAGTGCTTAAAAGTGGGGAAAGGTTGGCTGACACCCTTGTTCTGGACACAAGTCTCCTTCTTCTAGCCAATAAGGCTCAAATTTGACCAAACCCAAATCTTGATCAGACAATCTAAGTCATAAAAGTAGTCACTATGCTTTTCTGGAGAAGGATTTTAACATTACTAAGATGCAATCCATAAAAAGGTAAATAGAAAAGAAACCTCTTACATTCTCAATTTGAGTATTATTATTGCTCATATATATAAACAGCAGGGCCTAACATATCCACAACCTCACCTGCTCCTTCAAGTCCACTAAGACAAGACACAAACGAGTGCTAAGTCAAGGTTTTTAAAAAACATGTATTTTAAATGCTTTTTTAAAAATTGATTTTTTAGGAAGAGGTAGAAACATCGACGTGAGAAACATCTATCAGTTGCCTCCTGCACGCCCCCTATTGGGGATCGAGCCGGCAACGTGGGCATGTGCCCAGACTCAGAATAGAACCAGACTGCTCAGGCCATGGGGTGGCGCTCAATCCACTGAGCTACACTGGCAGGGCAAGTTAGGGCTTTTTAAGCTTAGAGAAACATTTACACCAATCTAGCTAATAAACATTCTGCCAGTTGCCACTGTTTAGCAATTTGTTCACCAAACACTAGTGACTTTTTTCAAGGGCAGGGTGTGGGAGACTCAGTCTCTTAAAATATATTATTTAACAATATGATTTAAAAAAAATATTTAAAAAAATTGACTTTTAGAAAAGAAGGAAGAGAGAGAGAAATATCAATGAGAGAGGGAAGCATCCCTTTTGCATTGATCAGCTGCTTCCTGCACTCCCCCTACCAGAAATTGAGCTTACAACCTGGGCATGTGCCCTGACCAGGAATTGAACCAGTAACTTCTGGGTGCATGGGAAGATGCCCAACCAACCTGGCCAGCTACACCGGCCAGGGCAACAGGGTGATTTTTTTTTCTTTTTCTTTTTTTATCCTCACCCGAGCACATTTTTCCAATTTTTGTACAGATAGAGTGGGAGGGAGAGAGAGGGAGAGAGAGAGAGAGAGAAACATCGACGTGAAAGGGACACATTGAGTGGCTGCCACCCGCACGACCAACCAAGGCCGGGGACAAACTGCAACTGAAGTACGTGCCCCTAGCGGGAACCGAACCCAGGTCTCTCCGGACCGCAGGCCAACGCTCTAACCGCTGAGCCAAACCGGCCAGGGCAACAGGGTGATTTTTATTGTTGTTGTTAATCCCCACCCGAGGATATTTTTTCCATTGATTTTTGGAGGGGAAGGGAGGGAGGAAGAGAGAGAGAGAGAGAGAGAGAGAGAGAGAAACATCGATGTGAGAGAGACATATTGACTAGTTGCACCCCTTCCCCACCGCACAAGCACCAACAGGAGCCAGGGATTGAACCTGCAACTCAAGTACATGCCCCTGATCAGGAATCAAACCCACGACTGTTCTGTGCATGGGCTAACACTCTAACCACTGAGAAACCCCAGCCAGGGCAACAGCGTGATTTCTGATGAATACGTGGACTAAATAAAGCGTCCCAGGGACTGCTAAGTGCTGGGAAGTCTCGCATGAGTGTGCGGCTACTCAGGCCCAGGAAAGGTCCAGTTTCTGGTTTCTGACAGTGACAGTGCACATACCCACCCTCAGTGGGGGGACTACAGTGCAGGATCCTGCCCTACAGGCAGTTTCCAGGCAAGAAACAGGGGGTGCTTACCTTCATTGAAGTTGCTGAGAAGCGGACACTCATTGTGGCTAAGGTGAGCTTTGACGCGACCAACCCCCGGATGTGCTTGGCATCACAGTGGCTTATCTGGAACAAGGAATAGCCATGTCTCAGGAACGGCATCAATGTTCCACCAGAAGCCTTGCTCTAGTGGCAGGAGGTGATTCAAACCCTAAGTTTCTCTTTTCCCCACCAAGGGAAGTGATCCTCCAGGTCTCTGAGACAAGCCCAGTGTCTGAAGAATCTGGTAAGACTCATAATGAACCATGAACTCCATTTTCTGTGTGGGGGCTGCTTGGGACTTGGCAGGTGGACAGAAAGGGTGGGCCGTGGAGACCAGAGCTGAAAGCAAGGGGTCTTTGCAGCACAGTGAACACAGTGGACCCCCCTGTTTACCATGCCCCACTTCCCTGGCCTCAGCTATCCTGAAGTGTGTTGGGGGGAGGGGGGTGCACAAGCCAAAACCAAAGCACACTCCCCTGAGCCACCTGCTCGAGTGACACACACACCCACAGACCCTGGCAGTGGAGTGTCAGCCACTCCTACTTCTCAGTCCTCACTTGGCCTGCACTAGTTGAGGCACACCCACAAGTTCCCACCAAGGGAAGCGATCCTCCAGGTCTCTGAGACAAGCCCAGAATGTTGCAGGCAGAATAGTCCAAAGGGTAGCAGAGGCTCTGGAGTCAGGCTTAGCTGAATTCAGATTCCAGCTTTTCCCTCATTAACTGTGCAGCCCTGGACAAATTTCCTTACCTCCCTATGCCTGTTTTCTTGGCTATAAAAGGGGGAATAAAAGTGCCCACTTCACAAGGCTGTGAGGAAGAATCCATCAAGGAGTGTATATCAGACATGGGGCACAGGGCTGAACACAAAGGCCACACTTGAGAAATAGATACTTTAATTCATTTTTTATTATTTGTTATGGAGTCCCTTTTCTTTTTAAAAATAGTAACAAAATTGGTATCGTGAACCCAAGAGTTCAGTATAGAGTAATATAAAGTATTTCCTGTTACATGTGGGCATGCCAGAGGACAGATAACTCTCAAAGCTCTCTGCTGACCTGCCTTGGGAAAGACTTAGAACAGGCTCTGCCTGACCCTCAGGATGACTTCGTAGCACTTCAACTTGAACAACAAGGAGGCCCAGAGGAGTGACCTGGTGCTCCATCCTGTTCAAATGCTGCCCACGCCAGAGGCAGAGATATGCAGACCAGCCAAAAGCAGCAGAGGCCCCTCTTTCTCTGCCTTCAGGTTGGCCTTACTTACCTAGTGAAATCTGCCACGTACTGACAAACATGAAAGTAACAGTACCTTACAATTAAGTAAGCACCCAACATCAAAAACACTTCTAGCCACAAAAATAAGCAAGATGATCCCTGTACAGGGCTCAGCCTTGCCTGCACTCCAGGGCCCTGGGCCTTACCTCCACCTGATGTAGAGATTTGAATATTGAGAGATCAAAAGGCAGGAGCTGCTCTTGAATGTTGCTGGTTCCAAAAGGTCCTTCTGTGCCAGAAACCTGCAGCCACAGATACAGCTTGAATCAGGGATGCTGCTACAGGGCTCCCCATCCATGTTCATGGGGCAGTGCTGCAGCAGCTGCCACCCTGCCTGACTCGAAGCCCTGCCTGGCTATGAGGCAGGGTGGGCATGCACCCTGCCAACAAAGCAGGCTAAAGCTGAGGTTCAAAGCAAAGGACACTGGGTCACGACTGCCCCCTGGTGCCCACAGCCAGAAACTCAGTGCCAAGAAGACCAAAGGTGGCCTTCCTTCCTGGGATAGCCCATCCAGCTTCCTTCACACACTGCCAGCCAGTGAGCTGTTAGGCCTCATGCTGGCTGTACGCCCATCACACCCACAAATGAGCTGCTGCAGCTTTACCTTAAGGTACTTAAGGCGACAGGTGAAATCCAGGATGTGCCCGAGGTCAGTCTTGGCATCCCCGCTGGCACACGTGGGCTTTCCCTGCTGCAGCTGCTCGGTGATCGCATAGAGCTGCAGGGGCCTGATGGCAAAGACCTCACCGGCCCCCAGGAGCTGTTCTCCTGCAATAGCCATGTCCCTCAGAGTGAGCATCCACCTCTAGCCCTGTCCCAGTCATGTGGCCAGGGAGTCTGCCCACCTGACTAACAGTTAACAAGCATTTGGCAAACACCTGCTATGTGTGCTGCACCACATCAGGGCAAAGCCACCGTCCCGGGCACACAGGAGCCACTGCCTCCTGAACTCATCATGGTGGGAACAGGGCATACACCCAGAACATGTGATTACAAAGGAGGGAAGGGCCATGAGAAAGTGCGACTGGGGAGCCTCCCTGAGGTGAGGCTCAGTTAAAATCTGAGGCATTAAGCCAGGATAAAGCTGATGCAAGGCAGCACTGTGGGCAATAGATCCATGCTGCAACCTCCAAGATGCAGATGACCTGAGTTAGGTGAGGCCTAAAATGCAGGGCCTGAGAGCAGGAGGGGGTTCTGAACCAGACAGACTGGATTTGGTCCTCACTGTCTCCTTCTGGCCATGTACCCTCAAGCAGACTACCTAGCCTCTGATCTTCAGTGTCCTCATCTGTACCCCCAGGGATGGGGATGGCAAGTCAGTAACATGCTGAATGCTAGGCTGGACCACAGGAAGCACACATTACATGTTAGCTACTGTAACTATGCTCTCTAGGCAGGGCCATGACCCAAGATCAGCTTCTATATGCCATCTGAACACTTTCAGCTAAGGATAAACCAGATGCAAGAGAGCACAAGGCCACCCACCTTCCAGAACTCTACCACAGGGCTTTGAACTAGATCCTGAGCTTGGGGTTACCCCCTGAGACAAGAACTTGAGAGCCCTAAGGTAAAGGACCACAGTTTCTCAGACTTGAGGGCAGGTGGACGGGCAGGCTTGGGCTGTGGACCAGATCCAGGGACTTAGGAAACCCCAGGGACATGAGCTTTGGCTAGGACTCACTTAGCATAGCACAACAAATGGAGTTCTGTGCCATCCTGCACCCCTGGCTGCCTAATAGTGCTGAGCAAGTTGCACCTGTGTTACAGGAACCCCTGGTCACATACCTTTTTCAAAGAGCTCCTCAGCCAGTGCAGCAGTGATGCCATTTATCTCCTACAGGGCAAACAAAACCCAGTTAGGAAGTCCCCTACCCCTGGTCATGGGCACTTGCACACTCCGTCTACCGCCTGTGCTGTTGCAATGCCAGCTCTCCAGAAAGTCAGGCAAAATAAAGGAGTACACCTATAATGAACCACTGTGCGTAGAAAGGGAAACTAAATATTTCCAGTTATATGGACAATTAAAATGCCTCCTCAAAAACGGAATGGAAACCAGACTAATGCTGCCCAGGAGGCTGGCAAAGCTTGGCTATGTCAAGTGCTGGCCAGGAAGCCAGCAGGTCCCAACACTGGCCCTCGGAGATCCTAGGAGAGGGCATGGTAGAGATAAAGTCCTGTTTCTTCTCAAAAAGGGGCTCCCATGATCCTTGTGGGATAACCCTCCCAGAGTCAACCCCCCCCCCCCCCCGACAGTGACCATTGCTTTCTTTCATGTCCCAAAGGTGTCTTAAGAAAGAGTGAGCACTCATTCTCTTCCTGCGCTCATCCCTTCAAGCCTTGCAACAGTCCCATTTGGCTCCAGGGTCACGAGAAAGAGGCAGGAAAGCACTTCCTTGCAGAATGATGTGATGGAGGAGGCATGACAAGGACAAGTTTTCAGTCATGTTCTGAGGTCCTAACTCACGCTGGGCAATGGCCTGAGTACTTATGTGGTGGCTCACTCAATCCTCTCAATTCCCTATACGAGGAATACACTATTTTGGAACCTGTTTCTCAAATGAGCAAACTGAGGTGAGAGGTGCTATAACTCTCTAATTCTACGTAGCTAAAAACTAGCAAAACCACATGCCCAAGCACTTGGCCTTGAAGCCTCTCTGTACACTACCAATTATTTCAGTACTTTAGTGGCATAATTGTGGGGTTGGCAGGGCCCCCAGACCCTCAGTCCCACATCGTGCAGGTAAGAATTTTTACCAATGCCCTGGCTGGTTTGGCTCAGCGGTTGGAGCGTCGGCCTGCGGTACAGAGAGACCGGGGTTCAGTTCCCGCTAATGGCACATACCTCGGTTGCAGTTTGTTCCCGGCCCCGGTTGGGGTCGTGTGGGTAGCAGCCAGTCGATGTTTCTCTCTCACATCAATGTTTCTCTGCCTCTCTTCCTCTCTCTCCCCCTCCCGTGCTATCTGAGATAAATGCAAGAAAAACGTCCTTGGGTAAGGATGAAAAAAGAAAAATAAATAAAGGCATAGTCTTTTTTTTTGTTTTATTTTTCCTCACCCAAGGATATTTTTCCATTGCTTCTTAGAATAGAAGGGAGGGAGGGGGAAAGAGAAGGGGGAGAGGTAGAGAGAGAGAAATATCGATGTGAGAGAGACACGACATGATCCCTGCAACCCAGGGTCAGGAATCAAACCTGCAACCCAGGTTCATGCCCTTGACTGGGAATCAAACCCATGACTCTTTTGTCCATGGGCCAATGCTCTAAGTGGGGAACCAAACCAGCCAGGGCTGAAATGTAGTGTTTTGTTTTTTTTTAATCCTCACCCAAGGATATTTTTTTCCATTTATCTTCAGATAGAGTGGAAGGTAGGGAGAGAGAGAAAAACATCTGCATGAGAGGGACACATCAACTGGTTGCCTTCCACATGACCCTGACCAGGGCCGGGGATGAACCACAACCAAGGTACGTGCCCTTGACCAGAGTCGAACTTGCGACTCTTTGGTCCATAGGCCGACACTCTAACCACTGAACCAAACTGGCCAGGGCTGAAATGTAATTTTTTAAAAAAGACATACTTTCTACCTCAATAAAAATGTTAATTAAAATATTATTAGCTATGCTTAAAAACTGTAACCCCCCCCCACCCCATCCAAATGTATTATAGACCAATTGATCTAGTTCCTACCAGGATCGTGTGTTGGTGTGCTATCTTGGGCAGCAGTGTGAAATGCACACACACACACACACCATAAACTAGTTGGGCCATGGCTCTGCAACTACCATTCTGACTGAGCATTGTCTGCATACGTGGAGCCCCATGATCAACGGTACCCCACAACACACATGCCTACACTCAATGCATAACCCCTGGCCAGCCTGATGCCTCTACTTGGCACATGCTTGAGCAGAGTGCTCAGTGGGGCATTAACGAGGGACTCAGTCACACATCACTATGTGATTCACACACACTTGCTAGTGTGTGTGTCCATGTCTAACTTTCATGTCTGTGATGAGTTATTCTAGCAGGATCAGCTATATTATGTGCCATTCAACTTTAAGTAAAATTCCCCATTGAGGGATTCAAGCCTAAACTTTAACTGAACAGAGCTCCAAAACTGCAGGTTACAAAAAAACCGGTTAGCATTTACAGCCTCAGTACTTTGCAACTAAAAACATGATGGATGGGAACAAAGGCTGACGTGAAGATAATAGTTCCATCATAGCTCTTGATTTCAAATTACAAAGAGGGTTTTTGTTCTAGCCAACTGGCTTTAAAATAAAAAAAAGATTTACATGCCTCCACTGAAGAGAACTAAGGGCCTTTCCTTACCAGGACAGCCGGTACTGGCTGGCACCGGGTGTGCCCCACCAGGGGCCATCACTCTTTCGGGCCCTCTACCTTCACTGCACCATCTCCTACAATACTCAAGAGCCATGGTCATCACTCTCCAGCTCACAAAAGAGGAATTGGGACACAGAGAGGTTAGTTGCCTAACTTGGAAGCAGCTAGGCTGAGATAAACTTGACTCTGCCTGCCTTCCAAATCCACAGTTAAACATCCTACCCCAAAATGGGGTGCTGGAATTCTCCCTAGGGATTCTACTTCATTGAATTTGGAAACCTCTACCCTAGGATTCTGGGGTGAAGTCTGTCACTGAGGGTTCAGGTATACGAGGGCATGGCTATCTGAAGAGAGACAGCACAGCAACAGGCCCAGTGTCCTCTCACTGCAACTCAGGGCTGCACCAGCCCCTAGATTCTCCATCTCAGAGTTGGTTGGGAAAGAAGCAGTGCTTTCTTCCTTGCCATTAAAATCCATACTGCAAAAGAATGCAGTTGGACCCCCTACCTCACACCATATACAACTCAAAATGGATCAAAGACCTAAACATAAGAGCTAAAATTATAAAATTCGTAGAAGAAAGCATAGTTGTAGATCTTTGTAACCTTGGATTGGGCAAGATATGACAGCAATGAAAGAAAAAAAGATAAAACAAACTTCACCAAAATCTAAAACTTTTCTGTTTCTAAGGACACTATCAAGAAAATGAAAACAATCCACACAATGGGAGAAAATATCTGCATATCACATAAAGTGTTGGCAAAGGCGCGGGGAGATAAGAACATATACATTGCTGGTGAGGATGTAAAATGGTGCAGCTGCTGTGGGAAAAAATTGGGCAGTTCCTCAAAAAGTTAAAGTTACCATATGACCCAGTAATTCCTTTCTTATTATATACTCAACAGAAATGAAAACACATCCACACAAAAAATGTTCATAGCAGCATTATTCATAATAGACCCAAAGTGAAAATAATCCAAATGTTTATCAACTAATAAATGGATAAACAAAATGTGATATAACCAAACAACAGACTACTCAGTTCATAAAAGGACCAAAGCACTGATTTATGCTACAATATGAAAGGACCTTGAAAACATTATGCTAAGTGAAAGAAGCCAGTCACAAAGGCCATATATTGTCTGATTCCATTTATATGAAACCATGGCGACAGATTATAGATTAGTGATTGCTAGGGGCAGGGCAGGATGGGAAATGATTTTGCTGATGGGTACAGGGTTCCTTTTTGGGGTGATGAATGTTTTGGAATTAGACAGTGGTGATAGATACACAACTTTGTGAATATACTAAAAATCAGGGAACTGTACACTTTAAGAGTGAATTTTTTTGGTACATGAATTACATCTCAATTTTTAAAAATCCAGTCCTGGCTGGTTTGACTCAGCGGTTAGAGCGTCAGCCGATTCCAGTCAAGGGCATGTACCTGGGCTGCAGATTCGATCCCCAGCCCCAGTTGGGGTTGTGCGGGAGGCAATCAATCAATATGTCTCTCTCACATTGATGTTTCTTTCCTCCCTCCCCCTTCCTTTCCACTCTCTCTAAAAATAAATGGAAAAATATCCTTGGGTAAGGATTAAAAAAAAAAAAATCCACACCTCAACCAAATAGGACTCCCTGGGTCCACCCTGTCCAATGTCAGCCCCACAAGGTGGAGCATGTTGGGAACAATTTCAGGGAAGACACAGATGGAACAGAGGTTAATAGAACATTCTCTGACATATCTTAGGCTCTGTTCGTTCAAACTCATCTGAAGATCTAAACTAGTGGTTCCAGACCAGGCGCAATTTTGCCCCTTAGGAGGATATGTGGCAAAATCAGCAGACATTTTTTGGTTGTAATTAATCGAGTGGGGGAGGAGCTACTGGCACCTAGTGGGTAGAGGCCAGAGATGCTGCTAAACTGCACAGAATAGCCCACACAACAATTATCCAGCCCTAAATGTCACTAGTACCAAGGTTGAGAAACCCTGATTTAATTGAACGCAGGTCAACTGTTTTTTCCAACTCCTTGGAATTATATAACACAGGGGCCTGTTTGATAACATTAGTTTCAAATGTGCCCATACTGCTCCAAGCAACAGAGCATGAGAACCACACATGTGGGCCGACCCAGGCCCATCTCAGGCAATCGTATCTCCAAAGAGTAGTGCAGGCCTTTCTGTGTTCACAGGTGAGAAAACCTGAGGCAGCCAAAGGGACTACCTCCTCAAAGACCCAAGTCTTAAGCGATGAATCATACTTTAAGTTGCTAATCAAAGCTTTCTCAAAGTGCAGTTATTTCTCAAAATACTAACCAGTGAAGTCTGTCTAAAAGACTTACGAATTTTTCTCACATAAAGAAAAATATATATATAAAGAAAAATCTACCCCAGAAAACTGCTGCTAACCACATACATTGCTGGTATATGCTAAATAGAATCCAAAACATACATACATATCCCATCTGTAACTGCCATCCTTTTTCCCATATGGCCCCTCCAAGCTCAGTAGCCTAACACTAGTGCTATTACCAAACGTCCAGGCTCCATCTAGCACTCCAACAAAGGTTCAGCTGTCGTACTCCAAAAATACTTCAAGAAAAAAAGATGTGTTTTAAACATGTTTGGGCCTTTAAGACCACAACCCCATCAGGCCCTTCCTAAAAGGTAAGCCTGAAAAGGGAGTGGATTCTTTTCTCTTTATCACATAAAGGGAAAACAATTAAATGTAAAATTATTTAAAAACCTATCACCCAGAGATAACTATACTACTATTTTGGTGTATAACCTAGAATTTTCCTAAATATATTCATATAAACTCTTAATAAAATGGGACCATACTCTACATACTGTTTTATAGCCTGCCCTTTTCATAGAGTAATATATTTATTTTCCTATGTCAACAAATTCACAGCCATATCATCATTTTTCTAGCAAAATATCCAATTATCTGGTACTCTTAATTTTTTAAAAAATCACCTCCTACTGAACTTTTGCTTGTTTTCAGTATCTTGCTACAACCCTGGAATGACTACCTTTGTACCTAAATCCTTTCCAAAGTGTCCTAACTTTTTTTCTTTAGAATAAATTCTAAGAAGTGGAATTATGCTCTGGCCGGGAAGCTCAGTTGGTTTGAGTGTAGTTCTGACGCACCAAGGTTTCAGGTTCAATCCCAGGTCAGGGCACATGCAAGAATCAACCAATGTAATATATAAATAAGTGAAACAACAGATGGTTGTGGGTTTTTTCCCTCTCTCTCCCTCCCAATCTATCTGAACAAAAAATGGAAAAATGTCCTTGGGTGAGGATAAAAAAATAAAAAAATAATACAACACTCATTTAAAAGGAAAAAAAAATTAACCTGCTATATTTGGTCAGGCTAATTTGGTGAGGTGTGTGATATTAGCTGGTATTGATTTTGCTGGCCTTACACGGCCTGAGGGCTGGGCGTTCCCACCCGAGGGAGTGCAGAGCTGCTCCATACACATACACTCATCAGAGGAAGCCACCTACCCTCACTCATACCTCACACTCTGACAATGCCCCAAGACAGCAACTCTGCCAACACAAACTGATCCCCTTAGTGACTCTTGATCTGTGAACCAACAACTCAACACTAGTCTAATGCCAGGTGTTAGCTGTTTCTAATCTATCCCCATCCATCTGGATGAAAACCTAGTTTAAACACCCATAGGCTGTTTTTGCTAACCAAAATGCCTGTGGTGGAGGAAAGCCTCTCTGTAGTAACAGTCTATCTAATGTAAGGTAAATCTGCCAATGAACATGCTTCTGCCTACAACCCATCCCCACCAGGGTGATGGTCCTCTATCTTCTAACCTCAGGATCAAACTCCAGCCCACCTTTCTTCAAAGCTGAGGTCTACACTGGTTTGCTGCCTTGAGCTTGGGTAGTTGTGGGCTTGCAGGTGAAAGAGAAAAAAACAAGAGGAACTTACATAAAACTGAAAATGCAAGAAGTGGGCCAGTACTCTGGGGGCCACGCCAGGAAAGGTGGCCAGGAGTGTCTGGAGGTAGACCTCCAAATCCTTCTCCCTCTTTTCCACCAAGCTTCTTGAGTTTTTCCCAATTATCTTTTTGGGTGGGAGCAGATTTTTATCAATCTTCCTCTCTGCAACAAGCTGTAAGGAAACATAAGCATGTCAACCACAAACGAAGAGTTTCTATGACTTTGCAAGATCAAAGCAAGCAGCCTGAGGGAAGATGCTTGTCTTGACTTCCCCAGCCCCTCATGGCAGCTGTACCAGGATTCGTGATCAAACCAGTGCATCTCAGCTTGGCCTCATCAAGTTCAATTAGTGTTAGAAATAACAACACAATTCTAGCCAGGGAGTTTCATCTGGAGACATTAAGAAAAGGAGACCTCCAGGCCCTTAAAATCACCCTTTTCTCCAAACAAGAACAGTAACCAATAAGGGCAGTGGCCTGTCTTTAAAACTCTCAGGTTGCAGCCCAGCTGGTGTTGTTCAGTGGATTGAGCATCGTCCCATGGACTGAGAGGTCTGAGTTTGATTTCCAGTCAGGGCACATGCCTGGGCTCAATCCCCAGTAGGGGGTGTGCAGGAGGCAGCCAATCAATGTTTCTCACATCGATGTTTCTATCTCTCTCTCCCTTTTCCTCCCTCTAAAAAAATCAATAAAAACATTAAAAACAAAAACAAAAACAAAAAAACATTCAGACTGCAAATAACCCAGAGAAAGACATCTCTTTCCAAAAGCAAAGAAAAAAATGGAACCACAGCCAGTGTTAAAGTACAGGCTATGGAATAGCTACAGTCAGGTGAAACAAGTTAAAACCTGTTCCTGCGCCAGGAAACTGTACCAGCATCTCACATCCAAGCTGGGGCTGGCTATCTTAAAACTGAAGTTTAAATATACTCCTCCCACACTATCTTATGCTAGGGTTAATCTCCCAGGAGCCACCAGTTTTCTTCACCAGTTAAATTAATAAAATGATTAAAAAAATTTTTTTTCTTTATTGATATTTAGCAAGACAGGAAGAATGAGATAAAACATTGATGAGAGTGAACATTGACTGGCTGCCTCCTGCATGCCCCACACTGGGCATTTGGCCCACAAACGGGGCATGTGCCCTGACCAGGAATCGAACCTGCAACCTCTTGGTGCATGGGTTGCTGCTCAACCACTGGGCTATACCAGCTGGGGCAATAAACTGGTTTATTAAAGAACAGTATAGGCATGGAGTCTGTTTTGTCCTAAAACTAATATGTGGCACAATGAGAACTTGGCCTAGAAGCCCCCAAGCTCTGAGATACAGGTCCCTCAGCTCTCGTTACCTTTTCATGCAGGTCATGGAAGTCGCTGTAGCGGTGCTTGACTGTCCATTCATGGTTGCCATCAGTGACCTGAATAATGTAAACCTAAAAGGGAAAACAGGCAGCCCTTGCCTAATCAGTAACAATTATAGCCCTGCCACACCCCCAGCAATAACTGCAGGACACCCAGACCCTCTCAACCTCCAGGCCAAAGTTAGACTGCTCCTGCCCACCAGCCCCTACACCTGACTCTTGCTGCGCAGTAGGGCCCCCTCTCAGCTTCCTCCATGGCCTAAGCACTGGATCTGCCAGGCAAAAGGGTAAGTCTGTGGCTCTATCCAACAGTGAAGAATGGAAAAGGTGATCATATCAAGCCATCTCTAGTTTTTTGCCTCCATTCTCCATATATTCAAAGTCCAACCCAACCAGAGCTTCAGGTAAGGCCACCCCTTCCAAGGGAGGCAGAACAGGGCCAGGTCTGACAGGGTCAACTTTTCCACTGTACTTTTTCCCAGGTGCCCTGCCTATATCCTGGAAGCAAGTCTTTTTTGAATGCTTTCAGCTGGTTAATAGCTGTGATTGCTGCTGCTGAGCCAAGTCAAGCCACTAAGAAGGTGATTGGGGGAGGGGGAGAGTGGTGATCGACTATCAAGCCCTAACAGAAGGAAAAATGGCTGAGTGATTAGAAGACTGGGGCTTGGACTCAAGGAAGATCTGGGTTCAAAATCTGGCTCTGCCATTTCCTGGCGGTGGCTTATGTATGAGTCACTTATGTAAGTGACTGAGAGCTGAAGTTTTCACTGAGTCTCAGTTCCTCCATCTTAAAATCTAATAGGTTTAAGAATCAAATAAGGGCCCTGGCCGGTTTGGCTCAGCGGTTAGAGCGTCGGCCTGCGGTCCAGAGAGACCCGGGTTCGGTTCCCGCTAAGGGTGCGTGACTCAGTTGCAGCTCGGCCCTGGTTGGTTGTGCGGGTGGCAGCCATTCGACGTGTCCCTTGCATGTCGATGTTTCTCTCTCTCTCTCTTTGTTCCTCTCTCTCCTTCCCACTCTACCTGAACAAAAAGTGGAAAAAGTGTCCTCGGGTGAGGATAAAAAAAAAAAATCAAGGTAATGTATGCAAAATACTTTGTACAGGGCCTGACATGCAGCAAGTGTTCAATGAAAAGGCTGGTGTATTAATAATATTCAACTAAGCACACTGGACACAAAATGGTAGGGTAGGCCTGGATCACCCGCCTTCCCCACACCCATTCAGAGGGACTCAGCCCTGTGAAATAGAGAAAGCCATTTTGTGCTGACCTCCAACTGAATGCAGCCCATGGGTGATGGCCAGCCAGCCATTGGCTTAGAGACCTCAACTCGCACCTAGAGGAGGACTCCTGGTCCTAGTGTCCCGCCCCTCTCAGCAGCAAGCGGGGAAAGGGGAGGAGAAAATAATCAACTCAGCTGAAGCCTCCATAGAGGAGCAGCCATTTCTCCAGGGTCAGCCTGTTGCTCCAGGATCCACCCTCAGCCCCTCTTCCCAGGCTGGTAGCTTCCCTCCCTCTCCTTCCGTCCAAGAAAGGAGAAAGTCAGAGGAATGACCCTCAGGAGGAGGGTAGGAGCAGGGCCAAGGGGGTGGGGCAAACGAAGGGCCAAAGCCCCCCACCCTCTGGGAACAAAGGACTGGAGGCTGGGAGGTACTCAGTAAGCCCCCACCCAAGACAGCCTATCAGGCCCATGGGTCTGGCATCCAACCCCATCCGGACCCAGGAGAGCCACCAACTACATCACAGTCGGGGACTACCCCCATATCCTAACCTCCATCTCTCCTATAGCCTTGAAGTGTGCATTTCTGTGGGGAGGGGGGGCGGGGGCACTAGCTACCCTAATTTGCTACTAAAGCCATGAAGACTCCTAAGTTTCCTGGATCTGGCGTTTTCAGCCCTGAATGACCCCCTCAAATCCCGTGTCTGGGCTCCACCCCTCCCCCCTTTTGTCCCTGCCTGACCCCCAGGACCTCGGGAACCCAAAGCAGTCCTCACTTCTGCAGCAAATCTCAACTATGACCCCAGTCTCCCCAAATCAAGGCCCCGCCCCCTCTCCTTCACGACCTGCAGGGTTACCCTAGTTCCACCCATCTGACACCCCCTCCCTAACCCTCTTACTCCCAGACCCCTCGTCTGATCCTCCTAGGCTGGCGCCCCCTCAGGCCTAAAGGATCTAGAGGCACCTCCGCCTCATCTAGACCCCCCTCCTCCCCAGACTCCCTTTATCCCTAGACCCTCCCCAACCTAGCCTCCTCTCCTGAACGCGTACCTCCTCAAACCCCTCCTTGGAGCTCCTCCCGGACCTACGGGGCCCAGCTCCCTTCCCCAGATACTCCTATCCCAGGCCCCTCCTCGAAACCGCTGGCCCCTACCCATTCCTCCCTGGTCGCGGGCCCCAGAGCTCCTCCCCAACCCCAGGACTCGGGCTCCGGGTTCCAGTCGCCACTCCCGGTTCGGGCGCCCGCGCCCCCAGCACACCGTATACGTGTCCACGAGCTCAGAGCCCACGACGCGCGCCTCCTTGGCCGGCTCGACCTCCCGTTCGGGCCCGAAGCTGCGCGTCGCAGTCGCCATGTTCCGGGCTCCGCGGCCGCCCGGCGCAGACTAGCAGCACAGGGGGCGGGCCAGCGTCTCACCGCCCCCGGGACCCCAAGGGCCCCAGCCCCCGCCCCCGCCCCCGCCGCGCGCTGCGCCGCGCCGCCATCTTGTCCCACCGCCTCCTCGCGCCTTCGCCCCGCCCCTCTGGTGCCAGTGACAGCACCGCTCCTGGCGCGCGTGCGCAGGCCGGGCGGGCCGTTCCGCTTGCATAATCTGTACCTGCTTTGCGCGGACCGCGGAGCTCCTGGCAACCAGGGAGAACCTGAGGCCCGTGGCGGGTAGCTTTGGGCAGTACCTTCGGTGCCCGAAAGGACAGAAGGCCTGGCACCTCCCTGGCTACCCGAAGCAAGTCACTTCTCCTCCTGGCCTCAGTTTCTCCCTCCGGAAAAGGGAGGAAGTAATCGCCCCTCACCTGGCTCTTGGCCTCATTCTCTGTAGGGCAGCAGGGAGTTGAAGATAGGAGCCATGATTAGAGCCCAAATAGAATAACTGTGGACCAGTTGTTAACCTCTTCAAGCCTCGCTATCCTCTGTCACACCGGCTGCTGGAAAATAGAGTGGGTTAATTCAAGCAGTGCCCGGGCTTGCCAGGCAGGAAGCTAGTGTTGTTGTCTAGAGGGAACTTAGTTTGGGGGAGGGGGTGTTAAGATGGAAGGAAGGCATATATGCTGGCCATTGGGCACAAGACTCCCAGATGGTGTCCTACGGGAGCTTGAGATGACCCTGGACCCAGGAACTACAGAGCTGGAATGGGAAGCACAGGTACAGAGACACCCAGAGGATGTCTAACAGGGGAGCACCTAGACCTAGAAGAAGGAGGTGATAACCCAGCTGGAGGAGAAAGAAGGGGAGAGTCTGGCACAGATGAGGCATCTGTAGATGTGTTTGTTGGATGTCTGAATGCAGCTGACCCAAGCCCAGAGCTAGTACTGCTTGGATGAAATGAGAGATCTGGGGGGTGGTTTCTTTGGCACCCCTGGCTGAAGGGCTCCAGACTACTCTGCCCTAAGGTGGGTCAGTGTTTCTCCACCGCTTCCACAGCACTGTACTCTGAGCTTAGCATTAGAGGATTCTTTTAGCAGGACCCTATACTCCCAAGCCTCTCCTTGCATACCCCTGACCCCTACTGCAGAGAAATTAAGTTGAGGCAGGGGCTGCCAAGTCAGCCAGACTTTGGGCAAGTCACCACCTCCCCAGGAGCATTAGTTTTCTTATCTGAAAAGCGGAAGTAATATCCACCTTCCTGATTGGATGGGAGGTTGAGCTGCTGTGTGTAGGAGCTTGGCCTGTGTCCCACTGCTTTATAATTCCTGTCCTGTCCTAGGCTCATGTTTTCATTCACTCAAGAACACTTTCCAGAGAGTACCCTGGGGAACAAAGGGGAAGAGACCTGGTCCTTACAGCCTTTCTTCTTCCTGCCCTGGACAGAGGACACAGGGACTCAGGCCAGCCTGAGATCACCAGGGCTGGGGGAGGGGGTGAAGGATGCTACACAAGGGGTGGGCTGGGCCAGGAATGCAGCCCAGCAGGGCTATTTAAGCCCAGGGCCTCCTGGCAACCCCAGCAGCCTGCCCTCTCAGCCGACAGCATGGATGACATCTACAAGGCTGCGGTGAGGGACTGGGATGGGTGGGCCCACTAGGGAGTCACTCAGCTCAGAATGGGGAGACAAAGTCACTCCAGGGAAGTGGTAGGGACCCGGGAATACCTACATACTTTCAGCCCAGATCCTCAAGGGAATGGTGGATCTGGCATTCTAGGGTATGGAAGGGGTGAGGGATTCAGGGATTGGAGAGGAGCTGTCAGAGTGGGTGGAGGAGGAGGTTGCACCTTTCGGCATCATGTCTGCCTCTGTCTCCATGTCTGTAGTCTGTCTCTCGGCCTTATGTCTTTGCACTTGTGCCTTTGGTTCTGGATATTTGCCTGTCTCGGTGTCTTTCCATCTTTTTGTTCTGAGCTGTCTCTGATCTGTGTCACTGTCTCCTTGTCCCCACACCCATTTCTGCCCCTCAAATTCTGCTTCTCACATTCTCACAACCCCCTAGCCCTCTCCAGCCCCTGGCCTGCGGAAGCTACTGTGGAAGGGGTAATAGGGGTTGTGAGGAGGGGGCTGCAGAGTCAAATCCTGAGCTGGGGAAGGGGCTCTGAAGCTTGAGACTGCAGGGAAGGACTGGGCATGGGGGAGAGCCAGGAAGCAGGAACAGAGGACAAAGCCCCTGTTTGGCCTGGCAGGCTTAGGGCCAAGTGGCTTACCTGGGGGTTAGAGTTGGAGAATGGTCACCCCAAGTCCCTAAAACCTTCTGGGGTCACTTAGGAACTTCAGATGCTATTCCATCTCGGTGGGGGGGGTGGGTAGTGTGCTAACCTCCCCATGCCCTAGAAACCAGGACATCTGGCACAGAGAGCTGTCTCCAGAGGAACCCCTCTCTCAGCCCCGAGATTGTGGCCCTACTGCTGAGCAGAGAAGGGCTACAGCTAGTTCTGGGGGTGCCCCTGCCTATCCTGCAGGAGTGCATGGAGCTGGGGGGAGCAGCCCTCTGCCCGTGCCCATACAAGGTCTGTCGGGGCTGGGGACTAATTTTGGCTCCTGAGGCACCAGCAGGCCAGGGGGCCAGATAACGCTGCCCCACCCCCTGCATGCCAGAATCCCCAGAACAATCACCAGGTTTAACTTTGTCCCCCTTTAAAAATAGCCCAGTGGCCACCCTGGTCAGGTTACAGTGAGTGGCTTTACCTACCCCCACACTGGTTTTATTGTCCCAACCTGAGGGACAGCTGTCCCTCAGGCCACCCAGCTTGGGTTTCAGCAGTGAGGCCGATAGGGCATTGAGTGGTCACTGACTATTGTTACTCAGGGTCACCTTGGTCCTGGAGGGGGTGCCCACCTGTCATCCTGGCCCTGAGCCCAGTCTCTGTGAGGCCAGCTACCCGGGTCACCGAAGGGCTTTGGGGGCAGGGGAGGAGGACGCAGGCCTCTGCTCTGTGACTGGGAAATGGCCTGCCTTTTCCTGGCTTCAGTCATCCCACCTGTGGAATGGGTTGGTTTCCTCAACAGCAGCTAGAGTCTGAGCCTGAGTCCTGAGACCTCTTTTCCTCTCTAGGTAGAGCAGCTGACAGAAGAGCAGAAAAATGGTGAGTTCTCCAACACATATATAGGGGGACAACAGAGCTGGGCTTGGAGAGCACGAGGACCCCAGGCTGGAGACCAGAGGCTGGGGTCTCTCTTGCTGTGATCTTAGAGGTCTCCGAAGGAAGTGGGCAGGTTGGCAGGTAGCTCCAGGGATCTGGCCTTCTGCTGAGCCCTGGCTACTCTGCTCCCCCTCTCCCATTGGACACAGAGTTCAAAGCAGCCTTTGACATCTTTGTGCTGGGCGCTGAGGACGGCTGCATCAGCACCAAAGAATTGGGCAAGGTGATGAGGATGCTGGGCCAGAACCCCACACCTGAGGAGCTGCAAGAGATGATTGATGAGGTGGACGAGGATGGTAAGCCCCTCTGCCCTGCCAGACCCCAGTCCCATAGCACCACCTCCAGATCACTGGAGATCCGAATTCTGGCTCTGTCTCTCATTACTCTGTGCTCTTGAAGGAGCTGTTTAGTCTCTCTGAGCCTCGGTCATCTTATATATAAATGGGTATAGTGACCCCCTTGCCCCGTGGAGTTGGATGCAGTGAGAATACCGGGGTCTAGGGTCAAGGTGGTACCAGCCGTTCTGACCATCCCTCCCTAACAGCCCTGCCTTCCCCCCCCCAGGAAGTGGCACAGTGGACTTCGAGGAGTTCCTGGTCATGATGGTTCGGTGCATGAAGGATGACAGTAAAGGGAAGTCTGAAGAAGAGCTGTCTGACCTCTTTCGAATGTTTGACAGGTGAGTGTGTAGCCCTTGATTTCTGACCCCAATTCTAGTAGAGCTGGGGAAAGGGACAGTCTTATGACCTCCAGGCCTCAGTCTCCCATTTGTGCAGTGAGGGAGTGGGATGCCTCATCTCCCAGCAACTCTGCCTGCCTGCCTCCCTGGGTCATGAGTGGAGCCCCACCATAGGCTCTGAGACCTCCCTTGCCCCTCCTCCCTCCAGAAATGCTGATGGCTACATCGATCTGGAGGAGCTAAAGGTGATGCTTCAGGCTACAGGTGAGACCATCACAGAGGATGACATCGAGGAGCTCATGAAGGATGGCGACAAGAACAACGATGGTCGCATTGACTATGACGGTGAGGATGGTGTACGGGATCTCCCACTGCCCATGCCTGCTGGCCGCCACCTCTGACCCATGCCTGCCCTTCTCTCCACAGAATTCCTGGAGTTCATGAAGGGGGTGGAGTAGATGCTGACCTTTGCCCACAGCTGCCTGTGCCACCTTCCAACTCCAGCTGGGCCCTGGGGTGGAGCAGGGGGCCAGGGTCCCCAGGATGTGATTCTGGGCATGTTCTTGACCGAGAGCTCTACCTGACTCCCTTCCCAGCCCTGTCCTAGGGAATGCAAATAAAACCCTGTTCCCTGGAGGCCTGGTGTCTGGTTTTTCTTCCCAGGGGTTGTGGACATTTTGCCAGCCAGTGTTTACTCCTGCGCTGAGGACCACTTCCTTCCCTATCTCAAAGCCCATGTTCTAACTACCTTCTATGCACACTGCCTTCTATAGGAGGGGCTAGGTTAGGTCAGAGACTACCATGCTCCATACCCCACTGCCTCCTTTCTATAACTCTGATGCCCAGGCCCCACTTCCAGTGATTCAGCATCTGGAGTTTGTGGTGGCCCAGGAATCTGCATTTCACATGACTTTGGTCAGCCGGTTGGCAGCCTGGGGGTCCTGTACCTGTAAAGGTTCTGTACCTGGAGAGAGGAATAACTAACTGTAGCATCCAGCTAAGCCCTGGATGCCCCTTGGCACAGCAGCCCAAGCTCCATCTTGGCTCTGGTTGGGGAGAAGTAGGGCACTGTGAGGCCCAGCCGGCCTGCAGCTCAAGTCCACCTGCCACTCACTTGGATTTCCCTCTGGCAACACTGACTCCTAGAGACCAGGAGTATATCGCCTAATCTACCTGCCCTCACCCATGTGACAGGTAAGGACCCTGGGGCCCAGAGCGGCCCAGGGACCTGTAAAGGTCATCCGGTGAGTCTGAGGGAGAACAGAGCCACGTGGTTTCCCGTGAGGGCTCTGTTTGATGGACCAGGTCCATGTGGGAATAATTTCTAGTTCTCGCGAACCTCAGAGGCTCCAATAACCCACTTCCCTCCCTGACAGGGAATGGAGGCTCTCAACTTAGTGGGGGTGTCCAGGCCAGAGCTGCAGCCAGGAGAGTGACACTGGTCTTCGGGGGAGAGGGTGCTACAAGGAAGCGGAGGTGTGAGCTGTCATGCTTGCAGTAGGGACAGCTGCCATGGTGTCCAGGCTCCAGCCAGAATGTCAGCAGCTGTCCTTGCTCCACCCAGCCACTCCACAGCCTCCCACCTGTGCCCCAGCCTTGGCATTCTCCAGACAGGCGCAGCATTCCAGAGATGGTCTTGGCATTCTGGAGATGCCTCCAGTGGAGGCCAGAGCTAGCGGGAGACCCTACAGAGACCTGGGAGGAGGGAAAAGGGGTCCCCTCAGGCCTGCCCTTAGGAGCTGGAGAACTGAAGGACCTACACACATGCATCCAGGAATGACATCTCAGGAGAGGAGGCAGGGCTACAGAGGGCAGCACCACTATTCCATGGTTTAGTCACCCCTACCATGTGCCTGGGATGCTGGGGCCCTTCAGAGAGAGACCCAGTCCCTAATTTTGTGGAATTATAGTCACCCCAGGAAGACAAAGGGAGATGAGTTCAGTAAGAAGAACAGCACAGTGCTAGAAGATTGTAGAGGTGTGGTGGCCATGGGATAGGGTGTTCTGGGAAGGCTTCCTGGAGGAGGTGGCACTGAGCTGAGGCCTGAGAAACCACAGAGAATCAGCCATGGAAGGGCATGGGGAAAGACAATGGAGCATCTCAGGAACAGACAGGCAGTGTTGGGCCAGGCACCAAGCCTCAGCAGCTGTAAGGTGAGACGCCCTGGTGCTGTCAGCACAGCGGGGTTAGAAGAGTGGAGGGAGGTGCACAGATTCAGGCCACGCTCTAGAACTAGAAGGACTGAATGTGAGGTGTGAGGAAGTATGGAGTCAAGGATGACCTTTCTTTTTTAATTTTTTTTTTTTTCCTTTATTGATTTTAGAGAGAGAGGAAGGGAGAGGGAGAGAGAGAGAGAGAGAGAGAGAGAAATTGATGAGAGAGAGCATTGATTGGCTGCCTCCTGCATGCCCCTCCCCCCATTGGGGATCGGGCCCACAACCTGGGCATGTGCCCTGACTGGGAATTGAACCAGCGCCCTCTTGGTGCATGGGTCGACGCTCAACCACTGAGCCACACCAGCCGGACAAGGGTGACCTTTCATATCAAGGATGAAGCTGTTATTTCCTGAGATATGGAAGCATGAAGGAGGCACAGGTTCTTGGGGGGGGGGGGGTGGTATTGGAAAGTGGAGGTTCCTTTCTCTAGATTTTTTTTTTTTTGGTAACAATTTTTGACTTTTCATTTTGAAATTCCAGACTTGCAAAAATAGTACAGGAGCTCCCATTTGCACCTTGCCCAGCTTCCCCAAATGTTAACATCTGAAATAGCCACAGGACAACGAGCAAACCCAGGCCACTACTAACTCATCTGCTGACCCCACTCACATTTGTCAGTTGCCTACTAAAGTCCTCTTCCTGGACCAGGATCCAAACCAGGATCACACACTGTGTCTTGTCACTCTGTCCACTTACTCTCCTCCAGTCTGTGTCAGTTTCTCAGTCTCTCCTCATTTTTCAGGAACTTGACACTTGAAGTGTAAAGACCAGTTATTTTGTAACTGGGGTTTCCTCAGGACTGGAGTCAGGTTATGCATTTCTGGCGGAATGATCACTGGGGAGATGGAGAGTCCTTGGTCCTTGTCAAAGCTGAGTTGCCTCTGGAACAGGATGGTGGGGATGTCAAAGCAACACTGGAGATAAGTGAGAGGACAGAGAGCTACAAACTCAGGTGTCATCAGAGTAAGAAGCGCTTTCCCAGCCCTGGTCCTGGATGAGACCTCAGGGAGAGGGTGTCTGGAGAGAGGTGGCCCAGGACTGTGCACCAGGATCCCACATGGGCAGACTCGGGGAGGAGACATGGCCAATGAGGGGGGAGAGACCCTTGGTGAGTGAGGGACCCCAAGAGCTGGGAGGGAAGGAAGGAGGCATGGAAGAGCAGAAGGTTCTGGGTTTAGGGAACTTGGAGGCCCCTAAGACCATGGCCGCATGGACATAAGGGTTTCCCTGGAATAGTGGGTTGGAAACCTAGCTGGAGAGGACCAAAGGAGGGAGCCAGGTAAAGGGGAGATGGAGAATGTGGACAACACTGGTGAAGTTTTGCAAACACTCAGAGAACAGAGAAATGAGCAGGAGCTGAGGGGAGAGGTGAGGCCCAGGGAAGCTCATTCAAGGAGGGGAATCAGGGAGTGGTCTGTACGCTGACGGGGACAACCCAGTGAATCTGAGAAAGGGGTGATGCAAGATGCAGGGCAGGGCTGCAGGAGGTGAGTAGCTACCAGTCTCCAGGAGTATTTTAAGGGTCTGGGTATAGCACTGGGCCTTGATCCAAGCTGGGCAAGGAGAAAGGGAAGTCAAGGCACAGAGGGAAGAACTGTGGCAGTGGGAATACTGAGTGCAGGGCATGTGTCCAGAGGAAGGGATGTTTTGAATGGAGATACAGAAGGTCACATCCTTATTGGTGGTTACTTGCAGGATGGGTGGCTGAGGTGGGGAGAGAAGATGGATAGAGGCCAGGGGGCACCCAAGGTATGTGGGATGCTGATGGAATTGAAGGAGGGGAAGAGAGAAACCCCAAATTAAGCCCTCTGTGAATGACTGGGCCAACTACAGAAAAGCTACATGGAGGGGCTGGCTGCTGTCTTAAAGAAGGGGTCCCCAGGAGGGAGCCCGGTGGGATTGTCTCAATATCTGTTCCAGAATGAGGTTGGTCGGGAAGGAACTAGGGGTATCCCTTCCTTCTGAGCATCCCTGCCCCCAGAACTGTAGCTGGGAAAGGCTGGGCTGTGACACTCCACATACCTACCTGGTGGCATCTGATGCATGAACATGCATCACACATGGACATGGCCAAGGGCTCCCAATCTCCCAGCAGCACACGGCATTGAGCTCCTCTACACATATCACCCGGTTCTGACTGTTCTGCTTCCTGTACTCCTCTCCATTTCTCCTGGGCTGTGTCATACATACTTTGCCTGGATAGTGCTTCCTCCATGAAGCCTCCCTTGATTTCCTTCACCAGGACCATCACTGGAACGTCTCTCACTGCCCCGGCCTCTTCATATTATGATTGCCTGGTTATTGCCTGCTGCCCCAAGAGGCTGCTGTTTCTCCTTGGCAAGGCCTGACACAGCCGGCAGCTTTGGGACCTCCTGCAGTTCCCACATTGTCCATTAGATGGCACAAGATGCATGTGACTGGGCCCATTGATTCAGGACATCAGGGGCATCTTTGGGTCTAGTTTTCATCAGCAGCTTGCAAACAGGGTCTTTTGCAGAAGAATCTTATTTCTTCTCAGACTGGAAAGCTGAGGCCCAGAGAGGGAGAGGACCGGCCTGAGGCCACAAAACAAATTAGCCTTAGATTTTGGGCTCCCAGCCCCTGCCCCAAGCTGTGTGGAGTGGGCTGCCCCCCACATCCTGCTCTAGTAGACCCAGGCCTCTCCTGCAGCCTCAGCTGGGGCCTGGCTGAGCTGAGACCCCCACTGTGAGCTGGCAGGCTGAAGCGTTGTTGGGCCTGCTGCCCATAGCTGGTGGCCAAATGCTGGTTGAGAGGCTGTCTGGCTCAATCTCCAGCCAGATATTGGTCCATACCCTGGGTTACCACCCAAAACATATCTCCAGGGAGGTGGAGGCAGAGGGGCTTCCCCCCTCCCAGGGACCAGGATATAATCACCATCATGGCAGCCCCTGCACAAGCACCCCTCACCATTTTATACAGTCTGTTACACCTAGAGTGGCTGGTCCCTGGTCTTGAAAGGAGGAGACGGAGACCCAGAGAGGCAAGGGCTTGGCCAAAGTTCTCTAGTGGAGTCAGAGGCAGGCGGTCTGAGGCCTGTCACTGGCCTCCCTGAGTAGCCCCTTACCCAATCCCAGGTCAGAGCCCCCCCTGGGAGGAGACATGTATATGTCAGGGGGCGTGGGGACAGGGAGACAGGGTTCAAGGTCCCTAGGTCCTTCTCATGCTGACTCAAGGGGCTGACCTGTCAACTTCCAGGGATGAGATGGGGAGGAGAGGTGGGGTTCAAGTACCACCCCCAGAAGTCCCCAAGTAACAGGGAATCCCAGGAAGGGGCAGTGTTGATGGTGCCTGTTCTCAGCCTGCTGTGTGGCCTGGGCTAGGTCCTTTCCTCTCTGGTGCCCCCAAGCTTCCTGATCACAGTCTGAGGGCTTGGCCTGGTCCATCTGGGAGGCCTAACTTGCAGGAGTTTCTAGAATTTGGAGGCTCCAATTCTGGCTCAAGTTTGAAATCGTCTTTGCTTCCAGGGGCCTGGGATGGGGGGAGTGGAGCTGTGGGGGACAGGGGCAGGGACCACTGTGGGATGGGGGCAGTCCCCTCACTTCCCTAGACTCAGCCCCTCAGTCTCTTCTCCTCCTTGTCCCTCTCTGTAGCCTTCTTGCCCCCTGGATCTGAGCTCAGGGCAGAGGGAATGGGGGTGTGAGCACCCTCTCTTCACCCTCATTCTGGAGGAGTATCCATATAGGGCCTATGGGGCAGAGGGGGATTCTGGGAAAAACCCACCACTCATTGAGTGACACTCTGGGTCTTGGGTCTCTGGAAGGACTGGATGGCTGAGAGAGGCAGGGCAACGGGAGGGGGCCTGGAGGCCAGACATTCATTCATCTCTTGCCAATCTCAGACCTGTGAAGTGTGGCAAACCTCAAGCCTCCATTCAAAACATGGAGCCCTTTAGACTGGAATGACACCGCACCCCCCACCCTGCCCAACACACACACACAAGTAACTTAGATCCTGCAGGGAAGCTGGGGAGCCAAATCAAGGCTTCAAGGTCTGGACCCTGCTGGTATCGGGGACTGGAGCCTAGAGTCAGTTTATGGGGAGAGGGGTTCTCTGTCACAGGCACTGGAGGGGCAGAGAGCAAAGGAGGGCCCAACCAGACCCTCACCCAGACCACCAATCTCTGATCTCTGACTCCTGACTTTTTCCAGGTTATCTCCCCGCTTAACATTTTGCTAGAACCTGGAGCCTTGGGTTTGTGAACATTTCTGTGTAAAGTACCCACCCCTCAGCTGGGAAAGAGTCTCCCCAATGGGGAACCGGGGAACCCGCCAATCTGACAAGAGGCATCAACCGGACCAGTCGGGGTGGAGGGAGCCAACGCAGGTGCACAGCGGGCGCTCGCCCCTCCCTCCCCCTCCTCCGCCTTCCTTGCCCTGGACAGGGCGGAGCCACTGCCTTATAAGTGGCAGGCCAGGCGGCAAGAGAGCAAACTACAACCAGCGGTGGGACCAGAGGGTAGCTCCACGGGCAGCGTGGTGCCCTTGGTCCCCCAGCATGGCCCCCTCAGCCTGGACCATCTTCTGCCTCTTGGGGCGTCTCCTGCTCTGCGGGGGCAGTCCCGGTCACGGCCCCAGCCTGCCCCGCCTTCGGCTCTCCTACCGAGGTATGGACCGGTGCGCCCCGTTCCTGTGCACGTCCGCGGGACCTTGAAACCCTACAGCAGCCCCGGCTGTGGCGGCCCCAGACAGCCCGGCAGTCTGTTCTGCCAGCTGGAGGGATGCAGTCAATCCCTGCACAGCCCGTGGGAAGGATCCTCAGACATTCCCCCAGGTGGTGCTCCTCTGGCTGCCGCCAGAGGCAGGCGCTGGAGAGAGGCAGGGAGAGGGGGACAGCTCCTGGAGGCATGGGTGGAGGTGGCAGACAGAGACACGCGGGGAATCCCGAGAGGACTGTTGAGAAAATGAGATAGGTAAATGGAGACTCTGAGAGACCTCATTAGAGATGGGCAGAGAGTTGGGGATGGGCAGACAGGGGGCTCCCAGCCAGGGAACACCGTGGGAGAACAGAATCCTGTCCCTCTCCTCTCCACCCTGCAGTAGGGCCCCTCACCCTGTCCCACAGCCTTCCCCTTACCCTCCTGCCCCTTGTAGCCCACTTCCAAATGCTAGCCTCACTCCTCACTCCATCCCAGCCCAGGAAGTTCCTCTGCAGATCTGACCTGATGTGCTGCAGCTGGCACAGCCCCTCTGAATCTGTAGAGACAGCACACAGTAAAGGTTCCTGAGACACGGGCTCTCCACAGGTTCTTCTTAGGGAGGCCAGAGGGGTGATCACCTTTCTTTGGGAACCTCAGTCCAAAGAGGGGGTTCTGGAGAGTATGAGTGGGGAGACATGGCTCCACTCTGGAGAGTCTGAAAGTGGGGTCTGGGGGAAGAATGTAGTCCTTCCTCCCCTTGGAGCTGTGGTTTTGGAGGGAAGTCAGCCTATAAGAAAAAGCCTAAATAAGGCAAATCCCTTCCAAAGTACTGTCAACCATAGAGGGCTTCCAGGAAGAGGCTGTTGATGGATTTTGGAATGGAGTGGGTGCTGGGCTGAGGATGACCCCTGGGCAGGCATAAGATGCTTGGCCTTCATAAGGGTGGTCAAGGCCCCTTCACACCCATCTTGCTGTCTGCCCCCTTGCTCACCCATCACCTCCACCTCCCTGGCCTAACGCCAAGAACCTATTTCAAGGTCCTTGACTCCTAGGACCAGCATCACCAGACACCTACCCCCACACCTGGGGCCTGGGTGGACAGGATCTCTGGAGGAGAAAATCTTCTTTAGCTATATCCTTGGACTATAGCTGGAGTTTGGCTGGGCCTTACCTGGCCTCCCCCATTCCCAGGCCTTTTCCAGGTGTTCCCTCTGCTGGGAACACTGTCCCTGCCTGTCCACCTGTGCACTGCGCAGGCTCACCTGCCCTTCCTCCAGCTTGCTGCGTAGTTCTGCCAGTGGGGCCGTCTCCCTGGGGGCTGCATCGAGCACAGATGGGCCACTGGAAAGGAAATGTTAACGGAAAGATCAGCAGGCTAAGCAATGGAGGGATAGGAGTTGGCCCCTGGGTGGGCTGGGCTGGGTGGGGGCTCAGAGCCTCCTTCCCACCCACCCCCAGGAGCCATTTCCCAGAAGCCCTCCTGCAGCCCTGTGGATGGAAACATTTTCCAGATGTGAGTGTGTGGGGGGTGAAGGCACAGCTGGGACCCTCCACTTACACGCCTTGGCTGAAGGGCCCTGACCCCCTTCCTTCCTCTCTTGTAGAACTCCTGTCTGCCAATCGCTCTGCCATCTTTCTGGGTCCCCGGGGCTCCCTGGACCTTCGGGCGATGTACTTGGATGAGTACAGAGACCGCCTCTTTCTGGGGGGTCGTGATGCCATCTACTCTCTGCAACTGGACCAGTCATGGACGGACCCCCGGGAGGTGAGCTGGGCTGACTAGGAAGAGGGTCTGTCTGAGAGCTGGGCAACTCTGGATGAGGGGCTGGATGGGGAAACTGAGGCTGTGAGTTCAGGGGTCAGCCGGGTTGTATTTCAGGTCCTGTGGCCGCCGCAGCCAGGGCAGAGGGAGGAGTGTATTCGAAAGGGACGAGATCCTTTGGTGAGCGCTTTCGTGAGTGACTGCCCCCAACCCTGACCAACACCCCAGTGGCCCAGGGTAGCCTGTGGCCACTCCTCCAGCCGCCTGTGCTGGGGTCATTTGGAACAGATACAGAGGGCTCTTGAAAGTCCATGAAGAATGTCACCCTCGACCCCCAGAGCTGATGAGCCAGGCAGGGCCGAGCCTTGGGATCTGAGGAGGTAGTGAACAGCCCCTCATCCCCTGCCCTTGTCCCCACTAGATGGAGTGTGCCAACTTCGTGCGGGTGCTGCAACCCCACAACCGAACCCACCTGCTGGCATGTGGCACTGGGGCCTTCCATCCCACCTGCGCCCTCATCGCGGTTGGGCACCGTGGGGAGGTGAGCCTGGGGTGGGCCCCCCAGGGACTGGGAAACAGTGGCATTTCCTCCAGGCTGCCTGAATGCTCCCCAGTGAGCCTGGGTCAGGGCAGAGGTTTCAGAGGCCTGAAAGACGCCTTTGTGCCAGCGCTGACCCCATTGACAAGGCCCTGAATTGAGGGTGCCTTCACCCACCCCCCCACTCTCCAGCTGCACGCAGTGCCCACTGCCCGTGGGGGCTGGCGCTACTTTCCCAGGTGACACCCTCCCTCTCCCCCAGCATGTGCTTCACCTGGAGCCTCACAGTGTTGAAGGTGGGCGGGGGCGGTGCCCGCATGAGCCCAGCCGTCCTTTCGCCAGCACCTTTGTAGGTGGGTGATGCCCAGGTCTGGGGGTACGAGGAGGGTGGGAGCCAGCTGACGTCCTTGGGAAAGGATGGTGGCTGGGCCCTCCTCCCCTGACTGCCCCCACCCCACCCTACCCCAGATGGGGAGCTGTACACGGGCCTCACTGCTGACTTCCTGGGGCGTGAGGCCATGATCTTCCGGAGTGGGGGTCCCCGGCCAGCCTTGCGTTCTGACTCTGACCAGAACCTGCTGCATGGTGAGTCCGGGGCCTGCTGAGAAGGAGGCTGATGGGGTCTGCCCAGCATTGGCAGGAGGCAGGAGAGCCGACGCTGAGTGGAGACAGGAGGGGCGGCCCATCTCCACTTTACCCTCTGCGACTCCAGCCTCCAGTGGGGACCCCGTACCTATTCCCCTCCCCATTGGGTTCAGTGACCTGTCCGCCCCTGTGAGGCTCCCCACCAGCTTCACCCTGTCACTGTGCCCCCTCCCCTGGCCCAGACCCCCAGTTTGTGATGGCTGCTCGGATCGCTGACAACTCTGACCAGAACGATGACAAGGTGTACTTCTTCTTCTCGGAGACTGTCCCTTCGCCAGATGGCAGCCCAGGCCATGTCACCGTCAGCCGTGTGGGCCGCGTCTGCGTGGTGAGAGCTGGGAGGGGACGGTGAGGGGCGGTGAAGTCCTTGCTGGACTTCCTCTTCCCAACCTGTCCCCACTGAAGTGAGGGTGTGCAGCCAATGTCCATGCCTCTCCCCTCGGGTCAGGGTGGTGGTGCAGAGGCGGGCCGTCCTCTGGGGCCCAAGGCTGACTGGCCTCCAACCCACAGAATGACGCTGGCGGCCAGCGGGTGCTGGTGAACAAGTGGAGCACCTTTCTCAAGGCCAGGCTGGTCTGCTCGGTGCCCGGTCCTGGTGGTGCTGAGACCCACTTCGACCAGTTGGGTAAGGGCAGGGCCAAGGGCAGGCCTGGGTGCAGGAGTGGGGAGGGCTCGGAGCCAGTGAGTGGGGGACATCGGCAGTGGCCTTCTGTCTCCCAGAGGATGTGTTCCTGCTGTGGCCCAAGGCAAGGAAGAGCCTCGAGGTGTATGCGCTTTTCAGCACGGTCAGGTGGGCACGCTGGCCTCCCCTCACCCCCACCCCGGCCTGGTTTCTGTCCCCCAGCTCCTCTGTTGAGCCTCTGCCTTCACATGCCAGCTTTGCCATGGGTCCCTGTCTCTGCCCCTGACTTGGGGAACCTGTGGCTGTATTTTCTATCTCTTTCTCTTTACCTTTGCCTGGGTGTCCTTGTTTTTTGGTTTCTACCGACTGCAGGCACTGTCCCCTCTGCCCTGCCCGAGATCCAGGCTGCCCCCTTCCCACCTGTGACGGCCACCCCGGCCTGACTGTCCCTGTCTCCCCTCGGCAGTGCTGTGTTCCAGGGCTTCGCAGTCTGCTTGTATCATATGGCGGACATCTGGGAGGTCTTCAAGGGGCCCTTTGCCCACCAAGATGGTCCCCAGCACCAGTGGGGGCCCTATGGGGGCAAGGTGCCCTTCCCCCGCCCCGGCATGGTGAGTGCCTGGCCTGCCGGGAGGGGGGCCGAGGAGATGCCAGGGGCTGTGCGCTGGGACAGCACTGTGTCTGCGCACCGCCATAGCAGCTCGGAGCCAGGGCTCTGGTGGGATTGGGGCAGGGTGAGGTGCTGCACAGAGCCCTCGCCACATGAAGGAGCCTCTCGAAGAGCAAGAGCAGCCCCTCCGAGGTTGGCATGCCCAGACAGTGGGCCATGGCCATGCCGGGTTGGGGAATGTTGATCCCAGGATTCCAGGTGCTCCCTTTGCCGCTGCCACAGTGCCCCAGCAAGATGACTGCGCAGCCCGGACGACCCTTTGGCAGCACCAAGGACTACCCGGATGAGGTGCTGCAGTTTGCCCGAGCCCACCCACTCATGTTCCGGTCGGTGCGGCCTCGGCGGGGCCGCCCAGTCCTCGTCAAAACCCACCTGGGCCAGCAGCTGCGCCAGATTGCGGTGGACCGCGTGGAGGCAGAGGACGGGACCTATGACGTCATCTACCTGGGAACTGGTGGGTGGGCTGAGCAAGGTAGCCATACTGGGGAGGTGTGTGGGCGCTCCGGCTTCCCCTTCCTCTCCTACTGACCCCTTCTTCCCTATCTCAGACTCAGGGTCAGTGCTCAAGGTCATGGCCCTCCAGTCTGGGGACTCAGCTGAGCCTGAGGAGGTGGTTCTGGAGGAGCTCCAGGTGTTTAAGGTGAGCAAGGAGGGGGCTGATGGGAGGGGTCCCCTCCAGTGGGTCCCTGGGTCTAGCCCTGCCTACAGGGAAGTGGGAGCAAACACAGGAGGGGGATGGGCCTGTCTTGACTGAACTTGCAGCCAGTGGGGGATGAAAGTGATGACCGTCCCCACTGCAGAGGCCTTGCTGATGCTTCTGAATGGCTGAGGGGCCTGGAGATGCAGTCTGTGACCTGAGAGTTGGGGGGCCCAGGGAGGGATGGCCAAGGTGAGCACCCCTTGACAAAGCCCCAATAGGCACAAGTCACTGTGAGGAGGTGGCTGAGACCCCAAGTGCCTAAGGGGTTCTGTTGGCCCCTCTATAAAGTCAGACAGGTGGTGTGTCTGGGGGACTGTCATACCTCCCAACATGGGATGGATGATTTGGGACAGCTGCTTCATTGCTGGGGAATAGGGCTGTGGGAGGGGACACTGGAGATTTGAGCTTTTAGCCAAGCTTCCCGCTTGGAGGCCAGCCAGGGTAGAGGACCTTTCTTGTAACCTGACCTCTGGGAAAGACTGTCTGGCCTTAGTTGCCAGGGCACGCACTGACCCTGGGGGATAGGCGGCCCCACCCAGCGTCTAAAGGAGGCTGAAAGCAGGGGGTGCAATGGAGGGCTCTCTGACACCCCGCCCCCCTGAGACCCTGCTCCTTCCCCAGGTGCCAACAGCCATCACTGAGATGGAGATCTCTGTCAAAAGGGTAAGAGCAGCTGTACCCCTCCCCATGCCTCCTTCCTTCCTCCCCGGCTCGAAGCCCCCTTGAGCACTGCCTGAGTCTGCCGGAAAGCCCTGAAGCAGGCGCCGGGCTGCCGTGCTAGGCCCTGCAGAGAGCGCTGGGAGTCCAGTCGGGAGCTGAGGTTCCCGGGCATGAAACCAGCGGGCAGCGGGAGGCCCTGAGTAGGTGAGGCTGTGCTCTCACAAGGGGAGATCCACAAAGGCTGGTTCTCCGGGGGAGGCAGAAAACGTGCTTGAAGACAAAATCCTGAATTTGGTACTGGGATTGCTTAAAGCAGAGTGCACCTGTAAGGTCAGAGACAAGTCAGGATGAAGGCCATTGGGAGAGAGGGCAAAGGTCAGAAGCAGGGAGAGCCTGGTGAAGCCCCTTAGAGGAACGACCCCACGTCTGCCCCATCCCCTGCATGTCCTAGCACAGACCTGGTGCACAGCATGGGGACAATACACATTTGTTTCTGTGAGTGCATCCAAGAGGTTCTGGAAGACTGCTTGAAAATGACAGGGCTCTCGGGGACCCCAGTGGGGCTGAGAGCCTAGCTGCCTCTGGGGAAGCCCGGGCTCACTGTGGGCTCTCCGTGGGTCCCTCCCCAGCAAATGCTGTACGTGGGCTCCAGGCTGGGCGTGGCCCGGCTGCAGCTGCACCAGTGCGAGACTTACGGCAGCGCCTGTGCAGAGTGCTGCCTGGCGCGGGACCCGTACTGTGCCTGGGACGGTGCTTCCTGCACTCGCTACCGGCCCGGCACCAGCAAGCGCCGGTTCCGCCGGCAGGACATCCGGCATGGCAACCCTGCTCTGCAGTGCCTGGGCCAGAGCCAGGAAGGTGAGTGGCAGAAGCCATGTGGCTGCCAGCTGAGCTCTCACTGGTCCCTACTCACCCGTGGCCTGGGCTCAACCCTGTGAAGTGGAACCCCTGTCCTGTTGTAACACGTAGTCCTCGATTTCCCTTTCTGAGCGGCTTCTGTCAGTATTCGGGTATAGGGTCTTTGAAGAGAGTGACTGACTTGGGGATTGATGGACCTCGAGGTCCCAGTAACACTGATGGAGGCTCCTGGACTGTGGGCGTCAGGGGTCCCATGGTTCCTGAGCTGAGCCCACCTCCGCCTCCCTCCAGAGGAAGCTGCAGGACTCGCGGGGACCACTGTGGTCTATGGCACGGAGCACAACAGCACCTTCCTGGAGTGCCTGCCCAAGTCTCCCCAGGCGGCTGTGCGCTGGTTCTTGCAGAGGCCCGGGGACCAGGGGCCTGACCAGGTGAGCGGCGACCCTGCCTCCGGTCTGTACTTGTCCTGAGGTCACATCCCTCCCTGAACTCCGAGTCCTGAGCCCTAGGAAGGGGCTCTGAGGGGAACCTGCCAAGTTCAACTGAAGAAAAAATTGTGTACTAAGCCCCTGGGGGTGCCTGGAATGAGGTGCCCCCACTCCTGTCATCTGGGAACACCCAGGCCAGATGTGCCTGGAACTCCTTCAGTGACAGGGAGCCCCCCAACTTCCAAGGCATTGAGCCGAGCTCTGAGAGGTGGGTAGCAGAGATGGACAAGAGGGAGGGGGTCTGGGCTGGTCACGAAGTCCCCCAAGCTTACACATATGGCTCATCTTTGAGGGGGTCTTTTCCCCTAGGGGTTCTTGGTTCTCCTCTGCTCCAGGCTTGTGCCTCTAGCCACAGCCCCCCAACCCCCGCCACTGCCTGTCCACACATTGTCTGCCAAGTCCCTCCTCCCCCATCTGGAAAGGTCTGTCAACCCCAGAGATGGCTCAGTCTGGGGCCTGAGGATGGGTGTGGGTAGGGCAGGGTGAGGAACAATTTGCAAGAGCTCCCACAGGCAGGGAGCGAGGGGGTGGGTTGGTTACAGGAGGGGCTGTTCTTCCAGCTTGGGAACTGGGGGAGGCCAGCCCGGGGCCAGCTGTTGGGCTAGGCACTGAGAGACTCCCCCAGGGGCCAGGGCCAGGGGCAGGGGCGCAGTGAGATGAAATTACACAGCACTAGCTGCCTGAGCAAGCCAGCTTCAGCACACAGACGTGCAGACTAGAGCCCAGACAGCGGCTGGGCCGGAGACCGGCTGGGTCAGAACAGCGCTCCGGTCTCCCACCCTGTGACGGGCGCTCCGCCCACCCCTAGCTGGGGCTGTGGGCCCTGCCCTGTGGGGGAAGTGAACCACGCAGACCATACAGAGTGAGGGAATTCTAGTCCTGGGGCTGGGGTTACAGACCCCCTGAGTAAAAGCCCCGACATACCCTCTTACCTTCTTGGTTCACTGGGAATATGTGCCAGGGTGCCCCAGAGCCAGGACAGGTGCCCCAGAGCTCTGACAAGGGAGAAACCAAATGTTTGAAAAGCCCCCTTTGCTGGCCTTGTCTTGGGTTATGGGAAGGTGAAGCCCTGCCTGCAATTAGCTTAGTCTCCAGGAGGCCTGGTCCCTTCCTGGGAAGTGGAGAGCAGGCAAGGGAAGTGCCCAAGTTCTGGGCCCTGAGATGGCACATTTGGAAAAGCAGGGTGCAGAGAAGTTGTTGGGGTGTGCCCTCCCCCACAGCCCCCTCATGCCCTCCCTGGCGCCCAGCAGGTGAAGACAGATGAGAGAGTCCTGCAGACAGAGCAGGGGCTGCTGTTCCGAAGGCTCAGCCGTCATGACGAGGGCACCTACACCTGCACCACGCTGGAGCACGGCTTCTCCCAGACGGTGGCCCGCCTGACTCTGGAGGTGATTGTGGCTGCACAGCTCAGCAGCCTGTTCCAGAGGGAGCAGAGGCCGGAGGAGCCCCCTGTCCGGGCAGGCCTGGCCTCCAGCCCACCCAAGGCCTGGTACAAGGACATCCTGCAGCTCATCGGTTTCGCCAACTTGCCCCGGGTGGATGAGTACTGTGAGCGCGTGTGGTGCTCCTCCCGGAGCCGGGGCAAACAGGCCAAGGGCAAGAGCTGGACAGGGCAGGAGCTGGGCAAGAAGGTGAAGAGCCGGGTGCAGGCCGAGCGAAATCGGACACCCCGGGAGGTGGAGGCCACATAGAAGGCAGAGGAGGGGGTGGTTGGGATGGGCCGAGTGGCCCAGTATCAGCCCCCAGTGTCGCCCACCCACCCAGCTAGGGCAGGGGGGCCAGCAGGCTTGATCACCTTTTAGAGATGGGAGTCTCTGCCCCCCAAACCCCTACCAGGCCACTACAGGAAAGGCTGGGGGCCTGATGGAGGACCCTGTGCCTGTTCCCTGCATCTTTCTGCTCTTAGTTCCACATGGAACCAGCACCCTCTGGCCACTGGCCACCCCAGTCGGCCTGCTGTTTGTTCTGAGTTGGCCCCCAGAGCGCATTTCCCGTGGTGCCCGGAGGCAAGAGGGCTGGGTGGTTCTTCCCCAGCTGCAGAACAAAGGGCATTCTGAGCCACCCTTCGAGTGGGTGTGTGGGCGCCTCTGAGGAGGTAGTGGCAGGGCCCTTAGGCAGCCAGAGGAGGTGGAGCTGGCACCAGATAAGAAGACCTACACTGACTGAACTGGGGAGGAAAGAAGGAGGTGCTGAGAAGGTAGACCCCCCCCCCAGCTTTGTGCCCTGATACCTTGGCGATGATCCCCTGCCACTGCCCACCGCCGGTTCTCCCTCTCAGAGTCACAGAAGCACGGACTGCTAGAGCTCCCTGCAGCCTGGGGGTGGGCCCTGCCTAGGCCCTACTTTGTCAACCAAGGGCACCTCACAGCCTGGCTTCCCTTCCCCAGGCTCTCGAGCTGCCAGGCCAGGTTTCCTGGGGTGCCCACCTCTCCTGACAGAATCCTCCTCCCCACCATCAGGGTCTCCATGCTGATGGGCAGGGTGAGGATGGGTGCTAGAGATGGGAAGAGAGGAGCTGAGGGGAGTGGGTCTTTCCCCGGCAGTGCAAGCACGCCCACGGCCTGGGAGGGTGGGACTGCGGCAGCTGGTGGCAGGACCAGGGGTAGGGCTGCACCCAGGGACGCAGAGGATTGAGAGGCTTTTGAGATGGGAGGGGGTGGGAGACCCCAGGATGGGTTATGGGACCCAGGAGCAGGCAGGCTCAAGGACTCAAGATGGCATCAATTAGCTCTGGAGCCACTGGGGATGCCAGATACTTCCCACCCTGGAATCTTTGCTTTCTGCTAAATAAGGGTTGGTTGTGGATAGTTCTTTTATGAAGCCTTTTTTCTCTTAAGGGAAAAAACATAGGGGAAAAGCTGCTAAGAACCCTAGGTCCTGCTGGTTTTTGGCGCTGAGCTCAGGTGTCCAGGACGCATTCTGTCTGCACATGTAGGGAGGTGTTTTGTCTTCAGCAGTAATGTCTTTCTTGAGCTGGGGACACAGCAGGGGAGGAGGAGGAGGACTAAATGAACAGTTGTTTCCAGCCTGAATATGAGCAAGTTAGTGATGCACAGAACTGGCAGGAGGGGGACAAGAGCATCAGGTTCAAGATTCCCTTCATTACAACACCAAGATGAATAAAGGAGAAAACAAAAACAAAACAGGGCTGCCTGCCCCACTGAACTCGAACCCAACTGGTGTCTGCCTTGGACTCTACCTGTGCTGCCCCAGCCCCAAACTGGGCCCTGAAATAGGCCCTCCCTCCCCTCTTTGACTGCACAGTCAGTGAACCAGAAGCATCAAGATGAACCTGACAACACTGTGGAGGCCTTGGTCTGGGTTGTGATGGCTGGGCTGTCAGCAGGGAAAAGCAGAGGAGAGGAGGACTGTGTGGAGGGGAGCTGGAGAAGAGAGGAGAGGGGGTGTTAGAGAGGGAGGAGAGAGCGCAGAGCCCCAGGAATGGGGTCAAAGGTGCAGCCAGTTCTGCCTCTCTGCCCAGGGAAGCCAGGAAGAAACAACCAGACTCTCAGTGGCCTGTAGGCTGGACCCAGGTGTGGCTGTCTTCAGGTAGGGTCCTCTGGGGAAGCTACTCTGGAAAATGGAGGGAGGAGGAGCTCAAAATCCTGAACAACAAACATCTGCACTTGGAAAAGTATGGACAGCTTCTATCAACTCCCAACCCCCACGGTACTGTTATTAACTCCTGGAAATGCCACTATGTGTGAATTCTATTTTTGTAATCATATGTTGAGATGGGCTTTGTGGTTTCTCTGTGTTCAGAACATACTTCCTCTAATTACTATTGTTATTTTGTCGTGACCACCCCTGGTGAGGATAGTACAGTGGTCTGCCACACAGAACCTATAAGGAAAGGAATGAAGTTAATATTCACATCACATAATTATATTGTTATTGTATCTGTGTATTTCTGCACTAAATTGACTGATACCAGCTGTGTGAGCTGGAAATGAAGTGCCTTCCCCATCCGTTTCACGAGGGAGAAGGCCACCATAGGTGGTATTTTCTAGAAGGGAGGGTGGGTATCAAGGGAAGGAAGGAGTCAGAGGGTGTTGTCTGAAAAGCTGAGATTGCTTATTAAATTAGGAAAATCCCGCTCGTTGAGACTGACCTTCTTGGAACTTCAGGAGGATCTTGAACCAGAAAAAAACAAAAACTGCTGGCAAAGGGCAGCTGGGCACGTAGGCAGCCCTGCTGCTTTTTCCACAATAACACTTGACATTTGTGACAGCCACACTTGGCCTGGTGCCTGCCTTCATCCCAAACCACATACCAACGTTTATTAAGGCCACTTCGCTCTCGCCTGGGGGGCCGACTGTGCGGGGGAGGGGAAGCCCAAGTCTGGCCTTGTGGGTGCTGTGGAAGGCGCTGGTTCCCTGTGACGTTATGCTGCTGCCCGGAGAGCAGACTCACTGGGGCTGGAGGGAGGGGAGGAAAGGTGGGGATGGACATTGCCACCTCACCAGGGAGACTAGCCTTGTGTTTGGATGGGCCCCCAATCCATGAGAGAGACTAGGCGGGCCTAACAGGTCAGTCATCAGTCCCATCTTTCAGCCTGGGGCACCTAGTTCTGTCCCCAAGTTTCTACACAAACACCCAGGCCTGACAGAACCTGCAACTCGGTTGCCCCACCCCAAGCCATTGTCCCCACTGAGTCACGAGCATCATCAGCACTTGGCACAGTGCTGGGCTGGGAGAGGTGTGTGTGTGATTTCCACAGCCCCCTTCTCCCCTCACACACTGCTCCCTGGGCACAGCACCTCTGCTGCCACTGTCACTGCCACCCGTGCCCTGAAGACCCTCCTCCCTTTCCCTCCCCCATCTTAAGTCCCATTTCCTGCCTCTGGGATTTCACTCTATCTTCCTCTGCCAGCTTTTTCCTCCAAGTCTCATACTTCCCCTGGTCTTTGGGTCTCTGTTTTATGATTTCCCAAACATGTTCAGAGCTGGGAAGGGGCTTTGTTAAAGGCACTAGGCAAGTGTTTTTCAAAACGGTGTCCTGGGGAATAGGTATCCCACAGAAATGGTCAAATAAGCCCAAGACGCCTAGCTTCCTTTGCCCCCGGAGCTGTGCACTGCTTACTTGCTTGCCGGTGCACCTCCTGAGAAGCCCGTGGTGCTCTCCTTAATGTGCATACCTACTGTGTGCTACACGGGTCTCGGCAGCATTTGGTCCTCTATCCCCTTTTCCCGTGCAGCAGTTCCATCTTATGTTTCTGTTGTTTTGAGGAGTATACCTTGGGACACTGCTGCTGAGATTCTTTCTCTTAACATGAGATTAATTTATTAATCTCTGCCTTCAAAGCCTGTGAACTATGGAGGCCCTGACTTCCAGATGAAACAGCCGCATCTTGGCCTCCCGTGCCGGCACCAGAAAAGGACCTGCCACCTCAGGACCAGGCTGCCACGCTTCCAGGCTGCTGACCCTTGGGCCTGGAATCTGCCCTCCACACCCAACCTGTCTCCCCAGCTCCTGTGTCTGGCATGGCCCTCTGTGGGGGGCTAGGATTCACCCCAAGCCTGAGACTGTCCTGCAGTCCACATACTAGTTTCTAAGGAAGGGTAAGGGGGATGGAGGAAGCAGAATAAGGGAAGAAAACAGCCCTTTTCTCTTTCTCAAATGGCTTCTGTGCTTCCCTTTCATTCAGCTAAGCCTAGCTCAGGTCCCAGATACCCCTAGAATCCCCCGTTGGAGGAGTGGGCAGGCAGCAACCATTAGGAGTCTGGCCTGCTCCCCACCAAGCTGTCCTCTCCTGATGATAGAGGCCCTGGATTTAGCTAGAGATGGGTGGGCCCCCAAAACCTGCTTGTATGCTTCTGCTAGTCCAGCAAATTGAGGCTTCTTCAGCCAGCCACCTCTCCCTCTTAGAACTAGGAAACAGTTGCCCAGAAAGTTTAATTTCCCTCTGAGTAAAGATCTGCCCCAGCCTCACCCAAGTCCTGGTCTGCAGGGTCTCCCGCAAGGAGAAGAAAGTTCAACACACACCAAGATCAAATTCCCTAGGGTTTTCGAGACTACAGAGAATGAATGGGTGGGGCTAGGTTTTGATACAATACCTGATAGGGAGCTCAGGGACTGTTGGGCCCCCCACCCTGGCTTCTCTTCCGGACTCACCCACACCCCTGGTGCACAGGAGATGAGGCAATGGCTGCTGTGGCCCTGTGCCCACTTCCCACTGCCCAGCCCCTGCTGCCTTTGCCATGGGTACCACTGCTGGGTCCCTCTCCCTTAGAGACTATGTCCTAATGAAGCCTTTCACTTTCCACACTGGATTTTCATTAAGGAAACTCCTGGTTCTTCAATGTAGCCTTTAAAAATAATAATTTTCCACTGAGAATGGGAAATACAGCACAGTCTCCAGGGAGGAGACTCCCAAGGGATGCCTGCCTTCATCCTCACACCACACCATTAGCGTCAGTCAGTACTTATACTCAGGGACTCTGTTGAGGGGGACTCGAGTGACCAACCAACTTGACTTCTTCCCCCCAGGAGAGAAGATGGCTAGAGTGTACCCTAATCTACACCAATGAGGTATGTTTCATCGTGATGAGCATCCCATTGAGCAGAGAGAGAAGACCACAGCAAGGGGACAGTTGTGGCCTGGCTAGGATTCCAAAGTGAAGCAGAGTCCGGGTTTCTGCCATCAAATGGAAGGGACCATACTAGGGACACTCAAAGCCCAGATTGGCTGTTAGGAGGATAAGAGGCAGGCTCTGCTCTCACAGATAAAGGTATAGTAGAATGATATGGCAGAGCAGCAGCTTGCTCTATGGACATGACCTCATCTGTTCACTCTGCCCCCCCACCCCCCACCAGCTGATAAGAATCTGGTGCTGTTTCCTGTAGTCCAAGGGTCTCAGACAATGGTGTGAACGGCTGGCCCTACTGGAAAGGACATTGTTCAAGGAAGAAAAAATAACACACCAGCACAAAGCCAGGGTAAGGACCTATCTAAATGTAAGGCACTGTTTACAAATCCATGATTTCCAAGGAGGGGAACACAATGGGGAATTGTTTTTGGTGAAGCTGGAGCCTGCCCCCCCCCAATGCTTCTGGGGCCTGGGGATGACTTTGATGGCCCAGACCGGTCTCAGATGCTCTGACAGGGATGGACACTGGTGGCGCGATGCCTTCCTGTTTACCGGCGTACACGCAGGGCAGGATCAAGGAACAAGTTTATTCCACAGACAAGCGGGAGGAGTTCCTGGCCCTCACTCCTTCCATCTGGGCCTCATGCTGTCCCATTGCTCAGGGACCCCAGGGCTGGAGGGGGTTTGCTAGGTAGAAGGGAGGACAAGTTATTTTGTTTTCTGAAAAACATCAACTCTTTGCTTTATGGCCTCCAAATTCCATGCTGCTCTTTTGGGGGGAAAAATGTACAAGGCATGAGGCCTTTGCAAATAGCCAACTCCTCTGGAATGGGGCTCCCTGGCTTAGTCATTATGGAGCCTTCTCACACCTGGGGCCCCCAAGATGCTGCAACTCACCTTCAACCAGCCTGGGAACACACAGAGAACTGATGCAGTGACCCTGGGGTCAGGGCCAATGTAGGTGCTGTTTCTCTTAACAACCTCCCACCCTGCCCACAAGTCATTAGAGGTTTTAAACCACCACTCAGAGGCCACAATATCAATGTGCATGTGGTAGGGGGGCTGGGCAGAAGAGGAACAGAACCATATCACCCATACCCCTTGGGACTGGCAGTCCCCACTTTGGGGACAAGGGGAAGGCAGCTGGGATCAGAAGGGTTACTTTGGGTCTGGAGAGACCATGAAGGCAATCTTGTTTGAGGATTTGACCTGTGATGGAAGTATCATTAGTAACTCTCATATTAATTTCTAAACCCAACAGGAGCACAACTCATGAATAAACTCAAACAAGTGAAGAGCAGTAAATCCTGTGCATCTCAAAATAGAAGCAAGCTTTTCATTAGCCATTCTCCTCCTAGGTCTAAAGAGTTATAATCTTCCTCCTCAACATGCTAACAGTGCCCTCTGGTGTTTGAGAGCAAAACAACAGGCATGTGAATATAAAGGGTATGAGCATATCCATCAATTCAGCAGATATCAAACTGCCTCTGAATGTGGGGTCTCAAACCAGACACCGTGAAGGGAAGAAAGGTTAATAAGACAAACAGGTCCCTGCCAATTAGGGGCTTCCAATCTAGTGGGAAAGACAGATCCACAACTGTAGGACCAGATGGAGAATGCCTTGGGCTACAATAGGGGTATAAACAGAGTCCAGTGAGAACACCTAGGGATGAAGAAGTGGACCTTATGCTGGGTTCAACAGGCTTCAGACTGTGAATCCCACGATGAGGGCCCAGTATTCCAGGGTATCCAGGGCAGACAGCCCGGGGGGTGGGGTGTCCTGGGAGATGCAGCTGTATGGGGCCATACTTGTGGAAGGCCTTGGATGCCAATCTCAGCGGGGGCCATCCTAAGCAAAGAGCTAACAGATGTTTTACGACAATTGGCAGAAGGGAAAGGGGTGGATGTGTCAGCAAAGCAAGTGGACATAGGAAACCATGCCGAGAGAAGGCTTCGCTGGAGTCTTGAGAGGCACAGGGGTCTGAGCTGCACACTGGCAATGGGATGGAGAGGAAGGCAAACATCTGAAAAATGGTCAAATTGACAAGAAAAAGGGTGGTTGAGCTAAAAGGAAGCAGAAGGAGATTCTGAAGTTTCTGGCTTTAGTTTATGGTTCTTACAAAGCTAAGAATTAGAAAGAGGAGAGCAGATACTTTGGAAAATTTTTATTGACATCCATTCCTACCCTCCACAACTGAACTATTTATTCTAGGTCCTAAGCTACAAAACATTAATTAATTCTAATAGACACACTGTTTGTGAAAACAGGTATTTAAAATGTACAAGATGAGTCTGGGGCATCTTAAATTGCCAAAAAGTCAAGAAGTACTAAAAAACAAAACAAACACACAATAATGAGGGTAGTGAAAAGGACACAGGCACTCCCAATGACCAAAGCTAGAACAATCTGAGCAACAAAATAAATAAAAATAGTATTGAATTATAAACCAAATTATATTATGCATATTCATGAGTCCATATTGATATAAACAAATGACTGACAAAATAAATAACTGGGAGAGAATAGGTAAATCTCCTATACAGAAGAATTCCAAATAATTTATACAGATACTCTTTCCTCAAGGAAGAAGTCCATTAATTGTGGACTATATAGAGTAACTTCCTTCCAAAGGTACAGTAGGGAAAGAGAGGGACTAACTTTACAGTGGAGAAACCTGACAAACACTACTTTGGCCAGATGATCAAGATCAACATCAACAGTGATAAGTCATGCAACTTCAATATGATAGGATAAAAAGGCACTTTACCTGTGTGGTCATCCTCCCCAAATCCGTAACCCTGGTCTAGTCATAAAAAAAACATCAGAGAAATCCAAATTGAGAGACACGCTACAAAATACCTGACCAGTACTCCTCAGAACTATCAAGGTCATCAAACCCAAGGAAAATCTGACAAACTGTTACAGCCAAGAGGAACCTAAGGAGACATGATGATTCAACTCAATGTGGTATCCTGGATGGGATCCTAGAACAGAAAAAAGACATTAGGTAAAAACTAAGGAAATCTGAATGAAGTATGGGCTTTAGTTAACAACACTGTATCAATATTGGTTCATTAATTTTTTTTTTGGTACATGCCCCTAGCGGAAACGAACCCAGGACTCTCTGGTCCACAGGCCGATGCTCCAGCCGCTGAGCCAAATCGGCCAGGGTTGGTTCATTAATTTAAGTGACAAATGTACCACACTAATGAAAGATGTTACTAATAGATGAAATTCGGTTTGGGATAAACGGGGATCCCCTGTACTATTTTCACAAGTTTTCTGTAAATCTAAAACTATCATAAATTAAAAGTGTATGTAAGAAAAAAGGCCAATTATTTAGTAGAGAATGACTGATTATAATTAGGCCCAGATGAAGAATAGAACATTTCAAAGTTGGCTTCCTAGCCTATAAGAATGAGGTTGGCTATTAACATCAATGGAGAGTAAAGGTATAAAAAATAGTTAATAGAGGTGTGTGTGTGTGTGTGTGTGTGTGTGTGCCAACAGCACATGGAGGTCAGGTAGCTGAATGTTTGGGTTGCAAAAAGCACCCCTTATCCCCACTACCCCTGCCACAAGCTCCACCTCCCACCCACTGCTGCTGGAGTCCAGAAGACACTGTTAGGGGCACTTTCAGTTAAGATGATGTTCCTTACACTTTAGTATACAAATGAACTCTTTTTAAAGGAAATGATACTACCCCCAGATGTCTGAGAACACGCCTGGAGAAACTCTAGATTAAGAAACTAAAGTCTTAATCTTGATTAAGTGTCTTTTCGGTTGTGAATAATCACTGCAAGAGTTGATTCTTTTTTTTAATCCTCACCTGACAATATTTTTTCATTTATCTTCAGATAGACTTGGGGGTTGGGGAGAGACACACACATTGACTGGTTGCCTCCAGCACGACCCCGACCAGGGCCAGGGACAAACTGCAACCGAGGTACATGCCCTTGGCCGAAACTGAACCCTCGACTCTTTGGTCCGAGGGCCGACGCTCTAACTGCTGAGCCAAACCAGCCAGGGCAAGAGTTGATTCTTTTTTTTTTTTTTTATCCTCACCCGAGGACATTTTTCCATTTTTTGTACAGGTAGAGTGGGAGGGAGAGAGAGGAACAGAGAGAGAGAGAGAGAAACATCGACGTGAAAGGAACACATCGAGTGGCTGCCACCCACACGACCAACCAGGGCTGGGGACAAACTGCAACCGAGGTACGTGCCCTTAGTGGGAACCGAACCCGGGTCTCTCTGGACCGCAGGCCGACGCTCTAACCGCTGAGCCAAACCGGCCAGGGCAAGAGTTGATTCTTTAGGATAAGCAAAATATTGTTTGTGAAATGAAAATCCACAATTAAAAACTCTCATTACTTGCAGAGTTTTGACAAAGTGTCCTTGGACACCCAGGGTAGGAAGCATAGCACTGAGTCATCAAACCCATGGGAGAGAAAATGGAGAAAAAAGGCATAGTCATGGGGAGGCCTAGGATGATAGTGTGTGGTAGGCCCAGGAAGCAGCTGGCTCAGGAGGAGTAGGCTCTCAGAGACAGATCTTCCAGAAAAGAAGTGCAGCTGATAGTGATCTGATGCTAGGCCTATGAGGAAAATTGTATTTTGAAGCAATTAATCATGTGGAACATTTGGGAATAATTAGCCATAGGTATATAGCAAATAAAAAATAGACAGGCATTAATTTCACTAAAAAAATATACAGTAGAGAAAAATAATCATGGTATAATGCCCCCCTTAAAAATTGTGATGCAATGATAAAATAGAATGAAACGGGAAGGTTTAAAGGTGCTAGAAGTTTATGTAACAATAGAAAGTGTAACGTAATAGAAAGTCAATACTACCTAAGATTAATAAACCAAGAAATGGCTAAAAGAAGTGGGAAGTTGTTGCCTTTAGGGAGTAGGATTGGGAGAAGGGAAGGATGAGTCAAGAAACTACTTTTCATTATAATCCTTTTAGTATTTCTTGACTTAAGGTTTTTTAAAAGTCTATATTACTTTGTCTATATACTCTAATAACAGAAAGACACAAATTACAATCCCCGACCTCTGCCATGTGATTCCACGTGAAACTGGTCAAATCTGAAAGCGAGCACCATGCACAACCTACTGTCTCCAGGGGTCAGCAATATTTGAACTAAGAATCCCATCCTCTGCCATTAGTGACAATGACCCAGTGACACCCTGAGAACTCAGTATCTGGCAATGGTCCTGAGTTTGCCCCACTAATCCAAATCCCACAAAATCATTAAAAAACAAACAAATGTGAGATGGGTTATATTCAATTTCTCGCAAGACCTTCAGCCAGATTCTCATCCTACTTGCCTTGCTTGATGGAACTATCCTGGCTGGGCTCCCTTACCTGCCAGAAATGCCTGAGCCGCCAGGCTGAGAGGGTTTGCGTGAAGGCGTGTCTTCACTTATGTTGTGGAGGTTAGTGGAGTCCCTTCTGTCCCATGTGAGCACGGCAGTCCCTGGGCTGTTTGAGTCCAGGGCCCCAAGCCTTGCAACAGTGGCCTATTCTCAGTCCAGTGTGGACTCCTTTGCTGGCTCACCTCCCTAATGAGAACTTGTATGTTTATTTGCACACTGATGAAATCTCTGTCCCTGTAAAGTCGATTTCCCTGCAAAATGCTTCCCTCCAAAGCAATATGCCTATGTTCCAAATGGAAAGTTCTACAGTTAAGTCACTAAATTTTATGGTTTTCCTATTCCCTCACTCTACCCTCCAGATTCCTTACTGTGCTAGATAAATCCCAGAGTAAATTTATAAGGAGACACCAATGGAGAGAAAGGCTTTATTTGCATAACAAACATGGGTGAAGTAAGAAGAGGCATAAGAGCACCAGATTAGGGTAGAAGAATCTTGGTGGAAGAAAAGAAAGGGCACTCTGGGAATCAGGCAGAAAGAGCGAAGGCACTAGCTACCATAGCCATATACATGGTCTGCGGTTGGCATCTGGACAGCTCTGTCCTCACACTCTCTGGGATTTCTCTTTCCTTGGTTCATAGTCTCACTGCTGGCCCCCTTCCTGGCCTCACAGTCCCAAAGTGCTCCCTCCTCAAACTTGGTGGAGGAACACAGCTTTGTACCCAAATGTGCTTGGCAGCAACTACTTAGAAGCTGTTTCTTGTAATTTTTGCAGCTTTTAGTGATTGTGACACCCTTGGACCGCCAGCAGTGGCCCCTCCTGCCACCAGAGGATTCTGGTTTCTCTAATAAGGAAGGTTCTGGCCAATCAGTCCAAGAAGGGCCCGGATTCTCTTCCAGGCTGGTGTCTCTGCAGTAATGCCCCCCTAGTGTAGAAGGTACTGCTGCAGCAGGGGATGTCACCTGAGTTTTCAGGTATATAGTCTGTGGTGAAAGAAAGGTAGGAGAGGAAAACTCAACCCTCTGTGTCTCCCAGGCACAGGTCCTTAAGCCCCTCCATAGCCACTTTTCTTCCCAAACTAAAGGCATCTCAAAGTCCCCATCTGGTGGTATGCCCTCCTCCTTTCCTAGGCACCACAATCTCCCCCACCCTCCAGTTCTTAGACCAGACCATCCCTCAGTCCCACCTGTGGCTTCAGGTGAAGGTGCACACTCCTCACACTCCCATTTCTTACTGCTGGATCTAAGAAAGGAGCAGTCCCTATGGGTTCCATGGGATCCGCACGTAGCACACAGAATAAGGCTCCACCTCCTACAGGAAGATAAGGAAGGGTTATGGGCACGAACATAACACTCTCTGGATGTTCATTACATGCTAGGCCTTTGCTGAGGGGCTTTCCAGGCATTTTTTACTGTACATTTTACCCATGATGAATGTGTGTCTGTGTGCTGATCCCAGGATCCTGCAGTTAGGCACAGACACCTGAAAGGTGGATTTGGAAAGGAACTGGCCCTGAGTGTCTCTCCACTGGGCTCAAGGAGAAGCAGACCCTTCAGAGAGACCTGTTCACATGTATGTGAGTGAGTCCCGGGCTGCTCAAGAATGGAACTTAGCAATTGTGTTCACCCTGAGGTCTGCAGACAAAAGTGAATTCTTTGCTCTTAATAACTGTGCCAAGGTCTAACACTAAGATGGCACCGATGAGAGATCTTTCTAGCCAGAGCCTTTTCCTACCCTTCATCCTCAAAGCTGTCTCTGCCTTGTTCATACAAACAGATGGGGGCGTCACAGTGCTGATAACGCTGGTACAACTCTGAGAAAGCCCCTGGCTCGAGTTCCCAGGCAGCATCTCTGCAGTGGGAGAGAAACAGTGAATAAGGGACACGTAATAGGTTGGTGAAAGCACTGTCCACCTGGGAGGACCTAGAAAGAACTCAAACTAGCACAGCAAGAGTTCAACAGGCTGCCTGTATAATTTCAGCAAGCCTGGGAAGGTGGCTTGGCAGTGGGAGAGGGTTGAAGCAGGATGAGTGGAACATAGGGGGTTCCTTAATTTCACACTGGAATGCAAGAACCTACCTCTCACCCAGGGAATTCTGATCCCCAAAGCACCCTTTTCAGAAGCATGCCTATTCCCCAACCTTCACTCCCCTCACTTTTCTTTTGATAACTGAAAAGCTCTCCCTCCACCCCTTTTCTCTTCCCCATATATCAGTGCTTTGGCTGCTTCTTCATTCTCTAACCACACACTCAACTCCTCTCTAGAAATCTAAGTAACCCATCCCCTGGCTCAATTCCTGCTTTATAGTGTCCACTACCTGTCTGGAATGTGAATTCCCATCCTTAGCATTTCTTGAGGAAACTCTTCTCGATTGTTACATTGTGGACATTTGAAGAAATGCTTTGCTGATGTGTGGGCATATTTCTGTAAGAGAAACATGGGAAAACTTTGTTTGTAAAAACACTATCTTTGGTCACCTTACTTCCACCCCATCCTCATCTTACAAAGAGGATGTTGCTAAGAAAGCTTGACAGGGACCAAAAGCTTATGGAAGTTCCCAGGAGTGCCTTAGCCAGCACCTCTGCCCACGAGGCATGGCAGTGCTAACCCAGTAGGGCTCAGCTACCTGGACACGTTTCCCTTTCCTTCCATCCGAGGAAGCAAGGCTGATTTGGGCGCTACTTGACTCATTCTAGGGATCAGCTCATTTGCTCTAGCCATCCTGAGCATTTTGCTCAATCTAAATGTTATCAAGAATGAGGTCCTACAGGTCAAGGGTGACCAGAGACTGGGCTGACTTTCCTCTGACTGCCTGGAACCAGCCTGCATACAGGCCTCCTGCCAAGATTACCGGAGCATTACCAGGGTGCTCTAAACTAGGGCAGTTGTGGGAGGTCCCCAGGACAGAGAAAGTCCCCACCTGAATGCACTTCCGGTGATAGATTGTTTGACTACAGCATGGGCTCTGGATGTTTTCAACACTTGCTTGGGATAAGTCTTCACAGCACAGGACACAGCTTTCCTCCCCCGCACTCCCCCCTTGAATGTTCTGTGTTGGGCGATGTTTTTCACAAAATGACCTGTGGCAGAGTAAATAGACTTGGTTTTGATTTGTTGTTGATGGAGTTTTCCAGCTGCCTAGCCTAGGGAGGGCAATCAACTTCCCAGACTGTTACCTAGAGAACCTCCTCTGTGCTGGGTGGGGAGGGGTTGAGCGGAGGAGGAGGGGGAAGGGCAGCCTTCTTGCAGCTGTTCTCCCACTCAGCAAAGCTCCCGGGACTATCTCTACAGCTTCTCATTCCTGAAAGCTCCACTGCGTTCTGAGCAGCTGTCTAAGAACCTCAGCTGTTTGTAATTTAAGAAGGGGACTGGAAGGAAGAAGTAACCCCTGTGAAATTGCCAAGTCAAGACACTGTTTCTCATTACTGAATGTAGGGACAGATTCACTGGGGAGTCAAAACAAGCCTGTGAGAACAGGACTCTGATTTGATTAGTGATTAATTAATAGCAAGTTGCAAAAGGGCAAACCGACTTTTCCCCTTCATCACTCACTTGTACTCTCCAAAAAATTGTGAAAGGCAACCCCTTTCTTGGCCACAAGGAAGATGGAAGTTTCTGATGCAGTGATCCTTCTGGCAGTTGATGGCAGCTCCCTTTTTCTTGCACACAAAGCAGATCTGCAAATGAGATCCCAGGCAGGGCTCAGGGTCCCAAGAAAGACAGACATTCTGTGGCACATCATTCTATGGAATGGAAATTCTGTGAAGCAACAGGCATTCCCTTTCCTCAGTGGACCTGGAAGCTCCGGAGCTTCAAGCACCACCGAATTCTTGTGTTTTCCCAGGATGTTGCTCCCTCTCCTCACTTAGGATTACTACACCCCAGAGAAGCATGGAACTTAAGAGAAAGACCAGTTGGGAAATCCAGTAGTCCTTACTTCTAAATTAGCAACTGGGGAAAAGCAATGAAGCAGGGACAATCAGGGAGGTATGAAGAGGGCAAGGCCCCCATTCCAGGGGATTCTAACCTTCCTAGAAGCCCGGGCTGCCTCCTTTTTGATGTCTTCAGGCAGGAATCCATGGAAACCTCTGTTAGACTGGCCTCGCTGAAGCAGCTTGCTAGATAGAATCTGGGGGGTGGAAGTGGTAGGGGGAGGGGAGGCAGCAGAACCAGGCTGTCAACATTGATGATCAGTAAAAAAGTGCAGTGGGGTGGAGGAGGACAGAGTAGAAATAGAGCTTGGTGGAATATATATGCATTTACAGGGTAATTTAGTTAAAGGCTTACGTAGTATTAAACTATACGTTGGATGCTCTAAGTGCTTTTCAAATATGAACTCATGTAATCCTCATAACAACCTTAAGAGGTGGGTACTGTCATCATCCCCATTTTGTAGGAGAAATTACAGTCGTCCCTCATTTATCAAGGTTAATCCGTTCCAAACTCTAGCGGTTGCACCTGGTGTTGAGGATTCCTGGGGTGCTCGAATACATAGGCCTACAGTCCATACGTACAGTAATTTTAATTTTAACTGTAATACAGGGGTGTATAATTGACTCAGACAACCAAGTGTATGCTGTATCATTTTCACTATCTCGATCAATTTTTTAATGAATATATTTGAGAAAACCGCGATAGAATGAAGCTGCCAAAGTGGAAGCGCGAAGTGGCGAGGGATGACTGTGTGTGACTTGCTAAAGCCCACAGAACCACAGAACCTGGGCTCTTCACCACTTTTGTGCTGTGCTGCTTCTTTTACTGAGGACTGCTTTTGTGTGCTGAGCACTTTGGGGAAACACTCCCTGTATATTGATTCATTTCATGCTCACCACAACCCAGATGTTACTGTGATCCTCACCTTACGGAGGAGGCCAGTGAAGTGCAGTATGGTAAATAAGCATGGCTGGGGTCACAGCAAGGAGGCAGAAGAGCTGGCGTTCACATCCAGGCCCCAGAACCCACTCTCTTACCCCTTCTGCTGTACTGTCCCCTTGGTATAGAATAAATACTCTTCTCAGAGTGTGTTCTGCATAGGAAGGGAAACAGGGCTTTAAAATATCCTAACTTGAGTCATTCTGCCTTATGGTAAAAGGGGAGGAATGGAACTTTTCTTTAAAAAACATACTTTAGCCCTGGCCGGTTTGGCTCAGCGGTTAGAGCGTCGGCCTGCGGTACAGAGAGACCCGGGTTCGGTTTCCGCTGGGGGCATGTACCTCTGTTGCAGTTTGTCCCCAGCCCTGGTTGGTCGTGCGGGTGGCGGTCACTCGATGTGTCCCTTTCACGTCGATGTTTCTCTCTCTCCTTCTCTCCCTCCCGCTCTATCTGAACAAAAAATGGAAAAAAATAAAAATAAAAAACACACTTTAAAGGGCCCTTTGTTTTTGAAAAGTCCCCAAAGCAGAGTCTAGAATGGGAAATCCAGAAAAAAGAAGCTAAACTGTTATGTACTTATAAACAATGTATGTGTACATATATTAGAAGAATGTCAACACCCCAGCCCCACTTCAAGAATCTTCCAAGAATACTGGGGAGGGTGCTAGACTTCCTGCAGTAATTACATGTAATGTGAATGGGATTCAGGTTAACATGATAGAAAAGGTGACCCTACAAGGTTAAATAACTTGACACTTGGATTATAGCCACATGTTTTCAATTAGGCTTAAAACATACCTATTTTTAACACTAATTATTTCAGAGCTTTAGGACTATATGAGTGATTTCTGTCTTATGTATATATTTACTCCTAACCCAAGGATATTTTTTTCCATTGCTTTTAGAAAGAATGGAAGGGAGGAAGAAGGGGAGAGAGAGACATCTATGTGAGAGAAATATCGACTGGTTGCCTCCCGGACACACCCTGATGAGGGCTGGAGGTCTGAACCTCCAACCCAGGTACATTCCCTTGACCAGGAATCAAACCTGCGAACTTTGGTCCATAGGCCAGTGCTCTAACTGCTGAGCCACATGGGCCAGGGCTCTGTTTTATTTATACTTTTAAGTATTATTGTTTTCTACAATGAGCATGTATTATTTAAATAAACAGAAAAATCAATAGTGAAAGATTAGAAACAATCTAAATGTTATTTATTTATTTATTTATTTTGCATATATCTTCAGATAGAGCGGGAGGGAGAGAGAAAAACATTGATGTGAAAGAGACACATCGAGTGGTTGCCACCCACAACCCCAACCAGGGCCGGGGACAAACTGCAACCGAGGTACATGCCTTTAGTGGGAACCGAACCCAGGTCTTTCTGGTCTGTGGGCCGATGCTCTAAATGCTGAGCCAAACCAGCCAGGGCACCTTTATTTTTAAAAAATTTTTTCTTATCCTCACCCAAGGACATTTTTGCATTTATCTTCAGATAGAGCGGGAGCGAGAGAGGGAGGAAGAAAGAGAAACGTTGATGTGAAAGAGACACATTGACTGGTTGCCACCCACATGACCCCCACCAGGGCTGGGGACAAACTGAAACTGAGGTACATGCCCTTAGCAGGAACCGAACCCGGGATTCTCCAATCCATGGGCCAACATTCCAACTGCTGAGCCAAACTGGCTAGGGCCTAAATGTCATTTAATAGGCATTTGTTTTAATACTTTTTGGCATACCCATACCATGGAATACCAATTAGCTACTACAAAGAAAAAACTAGATCAATATGTTGTACATGGAATGAACATAAAAAAGTAAAATACAAATACAAAACACTGTATAGTATGTTTATTTTTATGTTGAAAATGTATATGCTTGTAAATGCATTGAAATTAACCAAGACCTGACACCAAAACCAGACAGGAGTTATGAAGAGAGGAAAATCACAGACCTAACCCTCTCATGAGCTTAGATGTAAAAAAGAAAACAAAATTATTAACAAATTGAATACAGCACCATATAAAAAGGATAAAACATCATAACCAGGATTTATATCAGAAATGCAAAGTTAGTTTAACATTAAATAATTCAATTGGTATCACAAATCACATTAATAAATTAAGGGAAAATATCATGATCATTTCAACAGATGCAAAAAAGTATTTGACAAAATTCAATACACATTCATGATATCCTCCAGCAAACTAGATATAAAAAGGAGCCTAGTCAATCTAATGAAAAGAATCCATGAAAAAGCCTACAGCTAACATCATATTTTAAAGGTGAAAAATTGGATATTAGCCTCTGATGTTGGAAATAAGACAAGGATATTCACTCACATAACTTCTATTCAACACTATATTAAAGGTCCTAGCTAGTACTAAAAGTCAATAAAAAGAAATAAAAGACATAAAGATTGGAAAGGAAGAAGTAGAACTGTCTTTATTCACACATAATTATGTACACAGGAAATCCTAAGGCATTAAAAAAAACAAAAACAGCCCTGGCCAGTTTCGCTCAGCGGTTAGAGCATCGGCCTGTGGTCCAGAGAGACCCGGGTTCGGCTTCTGCTAAGGATATGTACCTCGGCTGCAGTTTTTCCCTGGCCCTGGTTGGGTCGTGCGGGTGGCAGCCACTCGATGTGTCACTTTCACATCAATGTTTCGCGCTCTCTCTCTTCCTCCCACTCTATCTGAACAACAACAAAAAAAAAATGGAAAAAATGTCCTCGGGTGAGGATAAAAAAAATAAATAAAAAAAAACAAAAACAAAAATGACTGAACTAATAAATTAATTTGACAAGATTGTAGGATATAAAATCAATGTACAAAAATAAATTGCATTTCTGTATACCAGCAACAAACCTGAAAATGAAATTTTAAAATAGTATAAAAATCACAAAATATTTAGAAATACATTTAACAAAAGATGTGCCAGTCTTCACTAAAAAAATTAAAATTGCTAAGATATACTTTAAAAGACCCAAATAAATAGTGAACTATATCACATCCATGGATTGTAAGATTCAATATTGTTTGTCCATTTTTTTTTAAAAATTTTTTTTGTGGTACGTGCCCGTAGCAGGAACCGAACCTGGGATTCTCTGGTCCACAGGCCAACGCTCAACCTCTGAGCCAAACTGGCCAGGGTATGTTTGTCCATTCTTTTTATTTTAATCCTCACCTGAGGACATTTTTTTTTCGTTGTTGTTGTTGTTGTTGTTGTTCAGTTAGAGTAGGAGGGAGAGAGAGGCAGAGAGAGAGAGAAACATCGACATGAAAGGGACACATTGAGTGGTTGCCACCCGCACGACCCAACCAGGGCTGGGGACAAACTGCAACTAAGATACGTTGAATGGTTGCCACCCGCACGACCCAACCAGGGCTGGGGACAAACTGCAACTAAGATACGTGCCCTTAGCAGGAACCGAACCCGGGTCTCTCTGGACCACAGGCTGACGCTCTAACCACTGAGCCAAACCGGCCAGGGCTGTCCATTCTTTATTGCAATCCCCATCACATCCTAAAAAGCTTTTTTTTTTTTTAAAAAAAAGAAAACTTTAAAGCTAACTATAAAATATATATGGAAAAGAAAACGACCCGATAGCCAAAACAATCTTGGAAAATACTGTAAACTTACAATGCTTAATTTCAAGACACTATAAAGTCACAATAATCAAGACAGTCTTGTATTGGTGTAAGGATCGACACACTGATCAATAACATAAAACAGATCATTAAGCCCTGGCCAGTGTTGCTCAGTGGTTAGAGCATTGGCCTGTGGACCAGAGAAGGGTCTCGGGTTCAATTCCTGGTCAGGGGCGAGTACCTGGGTTGCAGGTTTGATCCCTGGCTCTACACAGGGTATGTGCAAAAGGCAACCAATTGACCTGTCTCTCTCACATAAATGTTTCTCTCTTTCCCTCTCTGGCCTTCCTCCCTCCTTTCTACTCTCTCTAAAAAAATTAATGGAAAAAATATCATTGGGGCCCAGCCAGTGTGGCTCAGTGGTTGAGCATCGAACCCTGCACCAAGAGGTCGTTGGTTCGATTCCCTGTCAGGGCACATGCCCAGGTTGTGGGCCTGATCCCCAGTGGGGGGCATGCAGGAGGCTGCCTGTCGATGTTCACTCTCATCGATGTTTCTATCTCTCTCCCTCTCTCCCTTCCTCTCTCTAAAATAAATAAAGTAAAAAAAGAAAAAAAATATTGGGTGAGGATTAACAAACAAAAATATTTACATATAAATAAATAAAATAAAATAGATCATTGAGATGCACAGATATGTAGTCAACTGATTTTGAAAAAGGGACTGAGATAATTCAATGAGCAGGCAAAGATTTCTTGGGACACACAAAAAAGCACTAATGATGACAGAAAAAATTGATAACTGGACTTCATCAAAATTTAAAATTTTGTTCTTCGAAAGACATCACTAAGTAAATGAAAAGGCAGGCCACAACAGGGAGAAAATAGTCACAATACACATATCTGAAAAGAGATTTGTATCCAGAATATATAAAGAACTCTTACAATTCAATCAGACAAAAGAACCCAACTTTTAAAGTCGACCAAATATTTGTTTAGACACTTCATAAAAGAAAATACGCACATGCAAAGAAGCTCATCTTAAGTCATCAGAGAAATGCAAATTAAAGCCACAGTGCAATACCAATACACACCAAGTAGAATGGCTAAAATTGAACAGACTGACAATATCAAGTTCTAGCAATAATACTGTGCAACTTCATAAACTGGCAGTGGGAGTGTAAATTTGTACAATCACTTTGGAAAGTGACTTGGCAACTTCACATAAAGTTAAACATATAGTTAACATACAACCAGTAATTCCACTCTTAGGCATTTGCTCAAGAGAAGTGAAAACACATATTCACAAAAAGACTTGTGTGTACATGTTCACAGCAGCTTTATTAATAGCCTCCAAATGGAAATAATTCACATGTCCATCAACAGGCAGATAGATAAGCAAATAAAAACATATTCATACAACAGAATACTACTGGGGAATAAAAAAACACAAACTACCAATGCATGCAACAACATGGATCAATCTCCAAAACACTGCGTTGAGTGAAAGAAGACAGACACAAGAGTACAAATTGTATGATTCCATTTATATGAAGCATAAGAATAGGCAAAAGTAATACATACATCAGTGATGATCTCTGAGGGAAGTGACTGGAAGAGGACAGGAGGGAACTTTGTAGGGTGATGGAAATACTTACTTTGATTCAGACCGTGTTTATGTGGGATATACATTATATATAACACTGAAGAAGGGGAAAGATGGAGAATACTGTTTTGGGAAGAAACTTTTTGTACATACTTTATACTGTTAGGATTTTATACCAGGTACATATATTACTATTTAAATATTAGATTTTAAAAGAAAAAATCTATTAAGGAAAACAAACAAGGCTACGGTTCTGAGGCTGGATGCAAAAACAGATAACAGACTGTATAGCGTAAGCCATGAGACATTCAAAGCAAAGGGGGCCTTATACTCACAAGGCAGAAATAGTGCACACTGAGATTGTCTTTCTGAAGAAACTCCCCTAATTTTTCGGGATCCCCAGGTTCTTGAAGGCATAGCCGGCATACTGGAAGACAGAATGTTAAGAATTCACTTTGGGAGTGTAACCATCTCTCTACATACTAGGAGGAGGAGAGTATTGGGAACAGGGTCATTTTAAGGAGGGAGGTTGGGATAAAGTGTTATTTGGTATCAGTTAGGTCTTTACATAATTTTGGCCACATTTGAAGGAGCTGGCTACAACTGCTCACTTCATATTATTTTGTCTTGAGTGGCCTTAATTGATTTGTTTCTTGAACTTTGGACGTGATATTTAAAAATTAAAGACCCCGAGTTCTTCAGCATCTTAGAGAGTCTGGGAAGGAAGTAGGATCAAAGTGAGAGGAGCAAGTTTGCTGCCTTACACAGGTGGTCTTTGCTAAGGTTGGAAGGCATCAGCTAAACAGAACCTCCGGTCTTTCTTACCAGGCCCTGAAGATGGCTTCCTCTGGGTCACCCCCCTTGTCTTGGCAGATTTTCTATATAAGAGAAGGAAGAAGTACAAGGTGGTCTTTGAGGATCCTGTCAACATCCTTTGCACCATTTCCCTCAAAATGCCATCCATGGGTCTGATGAAGTACCAGAATATCTAATGGCTAAGACATCAATTTATTTTTCTTTCATATATATATAAACCAAGGATTTGATTTGAGAGAGAGGAAGGGAGAGAGAAACAGTGATCAACCTACTAAGCCACCCATTCAGAGTTTCTCTTTAATTTTTTTTTTCTGTTAATCCTCACCCAAGAGTATTTTTACATTGCTTTTTAGAGAGAGTAAGAGGGAGGGAGGGGGAGAGAGAAACATTGATGTGAAGAAAGACACATCAATTGGTTGCCTCCCACATGGCCCCCACCAGGGCCAGGGATTGAGCCTGTGATCCTTTGGTCTAAGGGCTGACACTCTAACCACTAAGCCAAACTGGCTAGGGCTATTTAATATTTTCTGAAAGCACAAAACATACCTACTGAATTGTTCGAATTATGTGAGATAGTAACCACCTTTCTGTTCCTGGTGCCTGTATTAAATGAACAAATGCAGGAGCAAACAACCTTCTACAGTTTCTTCTGTCACCTACTCTGAATCTCGGGTGGTATAACATTCACAAAACATCGTAAAATGATATGATTATATCATTTTAATGATTAAATAATTTTCTATTGCTAGACATTATTCTTTTTTTAAAAATCTTCACCTGAGAATATTTTTTCCATCGATATTAGAGAGTGTGGAAGGGAGGGAAAGAGGAGGGGGTTAGAGAGAGACATCGATGTGAGAGAGACCCATTAATTGGTTGCCTCCCACATGCACCCCTACAGCGCTGGGCAGCAAACCTGCAACCCAGGTATGTACCCTTGACCGGGAATTGAACCTGTGAGCCTTTGGTCCATGGGCCAATGCTCTAATCACTGAGCCACACCAGCCAGGGCTAGATGTTATTCTTGGCTAGATATTATTCATGTATTAGCTCAACGTATCTACAGAATGTTCTAAAAAGTGGGCGCTATTGCCCTGGCTGGTGTGGTTCAGTTGGTTGGGTGTCATCCCATGCACCAAAAGGTTGTGGGTTTGATTCCCAGTGAGGGCACATGGCCAGGTTGCAGGCTCAATTTCTCAGTAGGGGGCATGCAGCTGATTGATGTTTTGCTCACATATTGACATTTCTCTCTCTCTCTCCCTACCTCTCTCTCTAAAATAATCTTTTAAAAAGTGGTTGCTGCCCTGGCCGGTTTGGCTCAGCGGTTAGAGCGTCGGCCTGCGGTCCGGAGAGACCTGGGTTTGGTTCCCGCTAAGGGCACGTACCTCGGTTGCAGTTTGTCCCCGGCCCTGGTCGGTCGTGTGGGTGGCAACCACTCGATGTGTCGCTTTCACGTCGATGTTTCTCTCTCTCTCTCTCCCTCCCACTCTATCTGAACAAAATATCGAAAAAATGTCCTCGGGGTGAGGATAAAAAAAAAAAAAAAAAAAAAAAAGTGGTTGCTGCCCTGGCAGGTCTGGCTCAGCGGTTAAGAGCGTTGGCCTGTGGTCCAGAGAGACCTGGGTTCGGTTCCTGCTAAGGGCACGTACCTCGGTTACAGTTTGTCCCTGGCCCTGGTTGGATTGTGCAGGTGACAGCCACTCAATGTGTCCCTTTCACGTCGATGTTTCTCTCTCTCTCTCCCCCTCCCACTCTATCGGAACAAAAAATGGAAAAAAATGTCCTCGGGTGAAGATAAAAAAATAAAAATATAAATAAGAAGTGGTTGCTATTATTATGCATATTTTCCAGATGAGGAAATGAAGGCATAAAGAAATTAAGTAACCTGTCCCAGATCACCCTGTTAGGAAGTGTTAGAGCCACGTATAAACCTAGGCAGTAGGGTTCAAGAGCCAGCACTTACTACTAGGGACAGTCTTGGGAGGACAGATTACTGGGCAGCATCCAGAACACCAATGGTGTGTGCTTCTACAATACCCAACCCTAGCCCCCAAGACAATGCAAAGAGGGGAAAAGTACAGTATATACCACAGGCTATTGAATAATTTATCCCAAACTTCCTTATGTCACCTACTCTACCTCAATCTTCGACATTCCTCCTTCTCTTTTATAGTCTTCATTCGCTGCAGCCTCTCTCTCTCCTATCTTGAATTCTATATTGTTATGAGGACAATACAGGCTCTTCCAGCTACAAAAATAAACAGGGCTTGGTCAGAAATTTAATTCTAGAGTTGGTGATCAAGTTCTACAGGGACAAAGCAACAGTACACTTCACCTTCCAACCCATACGACAGAATATAAAGGACCCATCAATGCTAGTAATAGCCAATAACTATTAAATTGTGCCCAGAACTGTTCTAGGTATTTTACATGTTAACTCACAAAACCCCCCATGCAATAGGTACCGTTATTATCCCCTTTTCAAGATGAAGAGACAAGGCACAGAGGGGTCACAGAGAGGCTCTTGTAGATCTATCACACAGCAGAACTTGGAACCACTGCTTGAACTGGCTAAATGGTTCTTTATACCTACGGAATTCATGAGGTAGCACTCAGGAAAAAAGCCTTCTTTTGCCCCCAAGTATGGGTGTCTTAATTCTGGTCATTAAAACCTAGATAAACTAGTTTCTCCTACAAGGAGCTTGTGGTATTTCAGCTGCCTAAAGCAAGAACTCCCTCTAGCGAGAGACAAGAGACACTCACGAACCTTCCTTTGGCTCCTGTCACTTTTCACTAGGCTCAGATGGCCACTGAGGTGTGGCCTGTCCTCAACTGCACCTTTGTCTACTCTGAGCCCAAAGTAAAATGCCTCGATGTGGAGAAGACACCCTGCTACGACTGCCCCCACCGATGTCAGCCGACTGCAAATGGGTTTTCAGTGGTCGGGGAGAATCCCTGAAAGAAGTAAAACCCACTCCTACGGAGGAAGGACTGTTTGGTCGGGGGAGAGAGGGACGGCATCGTCTAGAGCTGAGTGAATCGGGTCACTCGGGGACACACTCCAGCACCCATGTCCTCACTGCACAGCCGGGGAGCCGCTCCGTACGAATGCAACCACCAAGGTATCCACCCATCCACTGCGGCTGCACCGCCCCCCTCTCTCCGGGTCTGCTCCATGTCCTCTTCTAACCCAGGAGTTGCACCTGCAGAAGCAATGGCATTGGTGGCTTCTTCCTCGACAGAAGCACTTGGACAGGCAGGAAGAGGAGAGAGACGGGCGTGCACGAGGGGATCCACGTGAGCGGACTACCGAGCGGTTCGAGGCGCTGGGGAGATCCCGCTCGTCTAGCGACAGCAGTAAAACCTTGCAACTTCAGTTCCTGGCATCGCGGGGCCAAGGCGTTCCTGGGCGGGGCTCCGCGCACGGGGGCAGCGCGGGAGGACGCCGCGGGCTCCCGGGCGCTGCGGGCGGGCGAGGCGGGGGCGGGCTTCCTCGAGCGGCTCGGTCCCAGATTTCCTACGCGGGAGATGCTCCCTGCAAACGGTGTTCCTAGTTGTTTCGCTTGATAAGTGCTGGATAAAAGCTTCTTGAGAAAATTAAAAATAAATAAGCGTGTTCGGCCCCGCCGCCACAAGAATAAACGACTAATTTGTTAAATACGTGTCGGCGTGGCCACAACCGTCCCCCCGAGGTAACAGCCGGCGAAGGGTCTCAAGGAGCATCCCGCGGGTGCCAGACCAGGATCATGCCGCGCCTGCAGGGAGGCGGGTGCGGGGCCGGGCCGAGGTCACTTCCGCCGCTCGCTCCTCACGGTAGCACACGGGCCGCCGCTCCCGGCCGGGGCCGCCCGTCCAGGTGTCGCCGAGGGCGCTTAAGTCCCGGAGCTTTATTCGTTGTAGCTACCTCACGGGCGGCCGCCCCGCGCGGTGACTGCGCCTGGTAAAGGGGGCGAGCGCGCAAACGGGGGCCGGGTCGCGCGGACTACGACCCAGGGAGACTGCGGCCCCGGGGACTACCGCTGCGAGGACCGTTGGCTGAGCGGAACCGCTAACGGCCGCGCGCCCGCCCCTTCTTTCGCCTCGCCCCTTCCCCTCGCGACGCTGGCGCTGACACCGCGCGCCCCGCCCTTCCTCTGGCCCCGCCCATCGCCGCGCCCCGCCCCCCGCCCGCGCGCCGGCCTCGGAGTCCAACCAGCGGAAGAGGAGCCCAGAGGCAGGGCGGAGACCGTCGCTCTGCGGTGACGTGTCCCGCCGGCGCGGGCGGGTGACGCGACGGGGCCCGTTGTCTGTGTGTGGGGCTAGGGGCCCCGGGGGCGTCGGGGGCTCCCGGCGGGGGCGGCGGTGGGTCGGGAGGGCCTGGACATGGCGCTGAGGGGCCGCCCCGCGGGAAGATGAATAAGGGCTGGCTGGAGCTGGAGAGCGACCCTGGTGAGGAGGGGGCCGGCTGGCTGGGGGCTGGGGATGCCGGGTGGGCCCGGGAGGCGCCTGCCTGACCACCACCCGCTTCTCTTGTTGCCCCACCAGGCCTCTTCACCCTCCTGGTGGAAGATTTCGGTAAGAGCCTCTCCTACCCTCCGGATCCGGGCTGTGGAGGCCCGTTCTTGCGTCCTTGCTGCAGGGCCAGGAGCTGCCCTTCCCGACTTCTTTTCTTCCCTGATCGCAGGTGTCAAAGGGGTGCAAGTGGAGGAGATCTATGACCTTCAGAGCAAGTGCCAGGGGTGAGTGGCTTGGCGGCAGGACCGCCTTTCACACCTCCAGGGCTAGGGAAGGGCCTAGGGAAGAGTGCCCCTCAAGGGAGGTAGTATCAGGAACCCCACGTTGTAAAATCTCACATAAGGAAGCATCCCTCCCCGTTGGGTGCGCTCCTGATCAAGCTGATGTTCTTGTTTTCTCCCAGTCTTTCCTCAGCACTTCTCTTTATGTAGCAACACCCCTCCCCCACCCCCACCCAATACGAATTTTAATTGTCTTTTGGAGTACAGTTCAGCTGCTTTTTCTAGTCTGGAGCAGGAAGCCAGGCCCTTCTTTAGACCTGGATCACACAGTGCCTTTTGTGCAGCTGTAATTTATTTGTTACTGCTTTAACATGCCGGTGCCTTTAATCTCTGTACAGCGGTCTTACATTGATTGGTTGGTGGTCTTGTATTGATTGATTTGTTGGTATGTGGCATTTACAAGGCCCCTCCTGGATGACCAACCTCACGGTCTTGTTTTGGTGGTCCTGAAAAATAGAGGTCTGGAGGAACTGACAGTGACTAAACTGAGAAGTCTGCTTTTATTTCCCAGGAAAGAAGGGGCTGCTACGGGTGTTCATTTTCTCCCATGGCTGCAGTGGGGTTCAGGCCATGGGGTTCACAAGTGAGAATTAGTGTTTAAATTCCTTATCAGAGTTTTTGTTACCTTCTGTTCCTCCCCTGTCCTGGGCCATTGGTTCCAGATTTTCTTCTCTTATCCCAGAACCAAAGACTTCATAAGGACACTGGGTGGACTCCTAGAGAACCACAGCCAGAAGCTGATGCTTAGACTGCCCATTTCAGGCTCCTGGGGTGTGAGGGCTCAGGGCCACTTTGGGCAGTGTTGGGAAGAAACCAGGGGAAAGGTGGGGTTATGGGAAGGGCACCTGAGTGGTAACACAGTTCAGGGGAATAAAGGGAGAAAAAAGGTGATACTGGTTGCCTTCTCCAACTTGGCTGGTTTAGCTCTGTTTCTTACTTTCCCCAGCCCCGTGTATGGATTCATTTTCCTGTTCAAATGGATCGAAGAGCGCCGGTCCCGTCGCAAGGTCTCTACCTTGGTGGATGATACATCTGTGATTGATGACGATATTGTGAATAATATGTTCTTTGCCCACCAGGTCTGCTGGGCTCTATATTGTGTTTGGCGGGTGGGATCCTGCCATTTTCTTTGCTTGGGAAGTGAAGTGGAGAAGGCAGGATGAAGAGATAGGCAGATACCAAGGGTGGTGGTTATAGAAGTTCCTTGGCAGAAGGAATTAAGCTCTTATTCATTAAAAAGGGAGAATCTTTAGAGTAGTGTGGGGTCTGAAACCACTCTCCATGTTCCCAGACATCTGGTGGGTATTTAGTTAAATGAACAAATGTTGAGCAGAGATGAAGGTGATTGTTCAGATATGACTGTCCCTCTCTGGGTCCCCATTCTTGATGAATGTGGGCTTTGACTGAGGGATGCTGTGTATGAGTGACTGTTCTTGGTTTCACAGCTGATCCCCAATTCTTGCGCCACTCATGCCCTGCTAAGCGTGCTCTTGAACTGCAGCAATGTGGACCTGGGGCCCACTCTGAGTCGAATGAAGGACTTCACCAAAGGCTTCAGCCCTGAGGTAGGCCACAGTCCCTTAATCCTGGCTCAAAGCTGGCTGGACAAATCTGACCTCCAGGACTACTGGTGATGCCACCACATGATATTTGGCACTATGAGACTTTTACTTTCCACGTGATCATTTAAATTACGTTTGACTCTTTTTTTTTTTTTATCCTCACCCGAGGACATTTTTGTATTTATGTTCAGATAGAGTGGGAGAGAGAGAAACATCGATGTGTGAGAGAGAAACATCGATGTGAGAGAGACACATCGACTGGTTGCCACCCACACGACCCCAATTGGGGCCGGGGACAAACTGCAACCGAGGTACGTGCCCTTAGTGGGAACTGAACCCAGGTTTCTCTGGTCCTTGGGCTGACGCTCTAACCGCTGAACCAAACTGGCCAGGGCCATTACATTTGACTCTTAAGTTAATTATGTAAGGCAATTGGTTTTAGGCCTAATTGTCAGGAAAGGAGACAAACCTAGGGAAAGAAGGAACATTGCTTAAGTGATACCATTTTAGAACTTTGTCACCACTTTACAGGTCACATTGCGCCCAGTGTCCACTGATTAGAGCCCATCTGTTTGAGCTCCAGAGCTCTCTTCTACACTTTAGGAGAGTCCACCTGTGCTTCTTCAGGTTCCTGGAATGCTTTCCAACCTGCTCTCTTAAGTTTTGTTTTCTACTCAGAGGCTCACCTAAGAAGTCGTTCTGATGTGGCTTTATTTTCTTCCCTCTAGAGCAAAGGATATGCGATTGGCAATGCCCCGGAGTTGGCCAAGGCCCATAATAGCCATGCCAGGTGTGTGGGAGCTGTGGGAGCTGATGAGGGTGGGGATAAAGAAGGGCTGTCCCATTCTGGGCCCTGACTGTGTTTTTCCCCAGGCCTGAGCCACGCCACCTCCCAGAGAAGCAGAACGGCCTTAGCGCAGTGCGGACCATGGAGGCGTTCCACTTTGTCAGTTATGTGCCTATCACAGGCCGGCTTTTTGAGCTGGATGGGCTCAAGGTCTACCCCATTGACCATGGTAGGCACTCTGAGCTGGGGGCCCTTTGGTTTTCTCTGCTTAACTCCTAAGGAACTGGGGTCCAGGGTCCTTAGTGTTTGGGCCTCAGTGGTGGGGGGGTGAGTGTTGACAACTGGCTTTGGCCAGATGGCACCCTGCATTGCATTGCCTGACTAGCCCCTGACTTCCTCGCTTGACTGCTGTCCGTCCTCCCTTCTACTCTTGGCTTGCCCAAACTCAGGGCTTCCCTCCTGCTGACTCCTCGTCTTGCTGTTCCTTAGGGCCCTGGGGGGAGGATGAAGAGTGGACAGACAAAGCTCGGCGGGTCATCATGGAGCGTATTGGCCTCGCCACTGCAGGGTAAGGGCCCTGTGTCTGCCCTACCCTCTGGAGCTGTGCCTCCATTGGGAGGGACACAGAAAAGTGAACCAAGGCAGAGAGACACATGGTGAATCTGGCAGCATCAGGCTTAGATCTTGGGCTCCCTCAAGATCTCATTGCCCTATTTCCTGCTCAGGCTGCCTATGGCCTGCTTTAGGGAGGGGCAGGCCTTGGTGGAGCC